TGTCCTCCACTAAGAATTTGTCTACTGCCTGGTACTGCATTGCCGCTTGATTCCTGCTTGGCCCCTGACCTAGCTACCACCAGATCTGCATCCCAGACGTGCACCCCTTGCGTTGTCTGCTGCGCTACAGTAGTGATTCAGAACTGCGATTCCGTCACCAGTCTTCAGGCACTTGTGCCCCGAGTTCCCTGTTCCATTACTCAAGGGTCTCGGGACCAGAGCTGCAAGAGAGGCTTCCCTCATCACTTCAAGCTCTGAAAAGGTATGCGACACCGACCAAACACTTTCATGGTCAGGGGCACCCTATCCATACACCAAAAGTGTATGGAAACCCCAACAATTAACTTCTCTTATTAGATCCTTCTCGGTCTGTTAAAGCTGAACTACGGGGATTGAAAAGCACGGCAAGGGTTAAATGCTTGCTAAAGCAGATCTTCAGGATTCTCAAACGTTAACCCCTGCAGTGGGGCTACTCCCGCACTGCAAATGTTAACTGCTTATTCTGGTCTAGGGAACGGAATGAAGAAGATAGACTCACCCGACGGCAGTGACCGCTCACCTCTCTCCCCCTTTGCTCTGCCTGTGAATGTCCCTTGGCTTCCTCACGTCAAATGCAAGTGTATGGACCCTGCATAGACGTTATAACGCCAGCGGGGCATAGACCCACCCCCCCAGGGGAGCCCAGGGTAGAAAAGGTTGCGGGGACCAGTCTAGCAGCCAGGCAGAACTGAGTATTGGGTGAGTATATTTTCTTTATTTGCGCCCCCTAGACCAACACGAGCAGTTAACCCTTGCAGTATGGGGGGGGGGGCATTGAAAATCCTGGAGTTCCCCTTTAAGTGTAGACATAGGAGAATGAGGTGTAATACTTACCTTATTCCTCGTTCCAGCAGGCTCCCTTCATCTGCCTAAGCAGTCCCCCGAAAACCCAACTCTAAGCCACTCCCTCTGGTGGTCACATGCTGACGTCATCAAGTAAAATTCAGGGCCGACAGCCCTGCATTGTATGCAAGCACCGTGAGGGCCCGCCCACAACCCTGAGCATTGGTGAGAAGAGACCGCTGAAGCGAGGAACATGAACATTTAAAACACAACTCAAAGCCTTTTCTTATATCTGTTTGATAACTGCAAAAAAAATATCTGTTGATCCTGCCAGAGATCCAGTGAGCTCATACCTTCCAGTGGACTACAAACCCCCTTTAGGGCCAGAGCGTCCCAGGTCTAAGAGTCAGGCCGGGAGATATATAGGGCCCATACACATCTCCCCATCCAGCTCTGAGCTACTTGGGACGCTTTGGCTGGCATCCCGCCTAGCTCCTGGCAGCCAGTGATGTCACTGGTTGCCAGGACCTGGGAGGTACGCCGGCCAGAGCGTCCCAGATTACTAAGAGCGTTGCAGGGAGATGCAGAGCCTGCAGAGGGCGCCATCACTCTCGTGTCTGGCGGCACTGTCTCCTCTACCCAACTCCCGCTCTTATTGCGTGCACTCCCTCAGGCGGCAAAAAGACTAAGGACACCACTGGGTAAGGTGCAATCTAATACATTTTTGTTCTTGGGTTTAGACTCACTTTGACAATTATTGATGCTCAACCGCACAGTTCCAGTAAAAAACATCCCGACCAATCCCCTGGAACCTTCACTGCCTCTGAAAACAGACCCGGGGTGAGGGAGGCACCCCAAGGATCCACTGAGAATAATAAGCCGCCCTGGGCTAACAATGTGGAAACTGTTACTTATAATTAATACATTTCACTGTCGGATGAGCCAACACATGTTCTGGAGTCAAACCAGCATCACATGTGTTTTCCCTCAGGCAATGAAGAAGTTAACTCTCCGCAGACAAGAGATGGTGGCCAAATATCCAAATACTACACCCCCGCTCTATAGGAGGATGGGGATATAAACATGCACATGTTTCAGCCATGCTAGTGTGTCTAAGCCCCCAGTTACAGCTGAGCGTCTCGTGACGGGTTTCCCGAAGTGTGACAAGGCTCGACATGAACAATCCCATTACTATTATTGGTGCCTGTTCTTCCCGAAGTGTGACAACGCTCGACATGAACAATCCCTTTATTTTTATTGGTGCCTGTTCTTCCCGAAGTGTGACAACGCTCAACATGAACAATCCCTTTATTTTTATTGGTGCCTGTTTATCCCGAAGTGTGACAACGCTCGACATGAACAATCCCATTACTATTATTGGTGCCGGTTCTTCCCGAAGTGTGACAACGCTCGACATAAACAATCCCATTACTATTATTGGTGCCTGTTCACCCCGAAGTGTGACAACGCTCGACATGAACAATCCCATTATTATTATTGGTGCCTGTTCTTCCCAAAGTGTGACAACGCTCGACATGAACAATCCCATTATTATTATTGGTGCCCGTTCTTCCCAAAGTGTGACAACGCTCGACATGAACAATCCCATTATTATTATTGGTGCCTGTTTATCCCAGAAGTGTGACAACGCTCGACATGAACAATCCCATTATTATTATTGGTGCCCGTTCTTCCCAAAGTGTGACAACGCTCGACATGAACAATCCCATTATTATTATTGGTGCCCGTTCTTCCTAAATTGTGAAAACGCTCGACATGAACAATCCCATTATTATTATTGGTGCCTGTTTATCCCAGAAGTGTGACAACGCTCGACATGAACAATCCCATTATTATTATTGGTGCCCGTTTTCCCAAAGTGTGACAACGCTCGACATGAACAATCCCATTACTATTATTGGTGCCGGTTCACCCCGAAGTGTGACAACGCTCGACATAAACAATCCCATTACTATTATTGGTGCCTGTTCACCCCGAAGTGTGACAACGCTCGACATGAACAATCCCATTATTATTATTGGTGCCTGTTTATCCCGAAGTGTGACAACGCTCGACATGAACAATCCCTTTATTTTTATTGGTGTCTGTTTATCCCAAAGTGTGACAACGCTCGACATGAACAATCCCATTATTATTATTGGTGCCTATTCGATTTCAATGGGCGCCAAACGTGGGAATATAGTGCATGCAGCAAAATCTGAGACATGTGTTCCGCGTCATTTGTGTATTTGAATGTGTGGGAGAAGTGCGTGTTTTCCCGGACACATTTGGGGTGCCATTAACTAGTAATGGCATCACAAGCATGTTCCGCGTTTGGTGTGTATTTCGTGAACGCACATCAAATCGTGTGTTTTTTTCCAGAGTTTGTTGTGCGTTCATGCAATGCAATGGTGTGAATAGGGCCGTAGGTCTGAATGGGGGATAACAGCGTCATTTTGGGGTAACTTAGGTGATCAGCTAAAATAAATCCAGGTAAATCAACGTTCCCCCCCAAGCATCGGTCATATAATTCCCATATGTTCATTCCCAATCAGATGGTATTCTAACAGATAGGCAACAAGCATCTAATGCCAGGGTGGACAACCTCGGCCCTCCAGCTGTTGTAGAACTACAAGTCCCATGAGGCATTGCAAGACTGACAGCCACAGGCATGACTCCCAGAGACAGAGGCATGTTGGGATTTGTAGAGAAAGCACAGCTGGAGGGCCGGAGATGCCCACGCCTGGCCTTGGAGAGGGGCGTGATGGGATTTGTAGTTTAAGCACAGCTGAAATGCCAAGGTTGCCTACCCTGGCATTAGATGGTTGTCACCTATCTTGGACAGGTGCGGGCACCGCCGGCCCTCCAGCTGTGCTTTCTGTGGTCCTAATCCTGCAAGTGACTTGCCCAATATGAGAATAGTCGGCACAGAGCTACAGAGGAGTCTCATCAGGCGATTATACACAGAGGGAAGATGGAGGCAGCTTCTGATAATGTGTTCACAGATACCACGTCTCTTCTACCATCATGCTCGGCGAGATATGCGCCTATATACGCTGCCAGCATCAAAAATAACCGACCACAACTGATATTATAAGAATATCAAATAACCCCCCGACCACCCCAAGTACCTAACCATATTTTTATACTTACCTGGCCACGGTCCTGCCAGATCCACACCGTGCGGCCCACGGGGGGAGCTGCAAACTCTCCAGCTGATCCTTCCACAAAGCAAACATTCCATGGAAAGGCCGTCTGTCATTGGGATGTATAATAGACAGGCAGCTTCTCCATAGGAAGATCAGAGAATGATCCTTACATGTGCAGAATAGGCAACAAGGGACCAGCAGAGAAGGTTTGCAGCAATGGCTTCCCGTGATCCACACAGCGTGGACCTGGCAGAACAGAGTAGCAGTAAGTATAAGACTTTGTGGGGGAAGGTAGGGCTGCTGGTCTTTAGAAAGCAGCCACAAGTCTGAGTGGAAAGGCCCATAACCTGCCCCCGCGGACCCGTCTCTGCACAGGCCCTCCGCAAACCCGTCTCTGAACAGTCTGATCTCTGCACAGACGCTCCGCGCAGTCTGATCTCTGCACAGACGCTCCGCGCAGTCTGATCTCTGCACAGACGCTCCGCGCAGTCTGATCTCTGCACAGACGCTCCGCGCAGTCTGATCTCTGCACAGACCCTCCGCGCAGTCTGATCTCTGCACAGACCCTACGCGCAGTCTGATCTCTGCACAGACCCTACGCGCAGTCTGATCTCTGCACAGACCCTACGCGCAGTCTGATCTCTGCACAGACCTCCACAGACAAAGTCTCTGAGCACCATGCATTGTACAATCCTGGGCTGGTATACAAGTGCACCCTAACCACTTGCATGCTCTCCAGTCAGGCAGGACATCTGCTCTGCCCCGGCAATGAATGGTTTACTGTATTAACCCTTCAATCGTGATGATAGTAAAGACTGTGTACAGGATTCATGTTATTGTCCTCGTTCGATGTGCCAGATAGAGCTATATATAGATACATAGGGATGCACGGTCCGGTCCCAGACTCCGCTGTATATCCCCCACCCCGGACTCCCAGGCCCGGCCAGGACATCCCTGCCACGGTACCCCCACCACCCGTTCCAGGTAACCCGGTTTCCTCCCGGGCTGACACCCCCGGGCCTCTCTTACCTCTTCCCGGCTCCGCCGCTCCCTTCAGTCCCGTTGCCGTGGTAACGCCCTGGAGGCGGGCTCTCTCTGGACACTGCGCTCATTGATGCAGCTTAGTTGTCACTCAGCAGCGCAGGCTGGACTGCAGTGGAAGGCGGGGCGGGGTTCAGCTGGACGGTCTGCTCTCATTGGCTGCAGTCTCTGTCACGCAGAACAGAGTTAGCCAGGAGTCTGACTTTTGTTAAAGTGACAGGGCAGAGTGGCTATAATGGCTAAACTGTCCCACAATGCACAGCGACGGAGACCCAGCCGGACTAGTCTGAGCAGGGTGGATGTGTGTCAGGAATGAATGAATGGGGGCAGTGATTGCTGTGACAGGTCATCATCAGAGGCTGGGATCTGGCTCTGTCCATGGACTGTCACTTGTCCTGGCTTGTAGCACCTTAGATGTTTCACTGAAACTTTCAGGAGTATTTCATTATGGTGGTATAGGGTTCCCTAAGGGTCAGGTCATAACATTGTGGTTTAAAAATGCATGTGCTTTAATTTGTGTTTTCATGCTGAACGCAATTTGGATTCTGTGAAATCACAGTAAAATAAATGCGTTCTTAAAGCTGAACTCCGGGGAATATGAAATGTCAGCCTCGCAGTGGGTGCGCCATCGCACTGCAAGGGTTAAGTGCTCGTATTGCCATGGGGATGATAAATAAGGTTATATACTTTATTCCTGGCTCCCACTGCCCCTGAAGGTGTCCAGTATCCCAGGATGTGAGTGGGCCCTCAGAGACCTCACATACAATGCAGGACTGCCGGTCCAGAGTTCAGCTTTAAAAAGGTTCTGTCACTTTGCCCATTCAGGAAAAAGTGATAGATTACCTTCAAAGAAACCCCCAACCTGCTGATACTCTCATTTGCTGCACTCCATTGGAGTCCTCATGTGCTTTTGGGTATGAGGAAGCTTGTGACCTCTTCCCTTTTCTCCCAGGATGTAGTGACCTCTTCCCTTTTCCCCCAGGATGCAGTGACCTTGTCCCCTTCCTCCCAGTATGCAGTGACCTCTTTCCTTTTCTCCCAGTATGCAGTGACCTCTTCCCTTTCCTCCCAGTATGCAGCAACCTCGTCCCATTCCTCCCAAGATCCTGTGTCCTCTTCCGCCCAGTATGTGGCGGCCTCTTCCCCTTCATTCCAGCATGCAGTGATCTCTTTTCCCTTCTTCCAGGATCCAATGATCCCTTTTCCTTCCTCCTAAGATGCAGTGACTTCTTCCCCTTACTCCCAGAATGCAGTGATCTCTTCCCCCTTCCTCCCAGGATGCAGTGACCTTTCCTCTTCATTCCAGCATGCAGAGATCTCTTCTCCCTTCTTCCAGGATCATGTGATCCCCTTTTCCCCCTCCCAGGATGCAGTGGCCTCTTCCCCTTCCTCCCAGGATGCAGTGGCCTCTTCCCCTTCCTCCCAGGATGCAGTGGCCTCTTCCCCTTCCTCCCAGGATGCAGTGGCCTCTTCCCCTTCCTCACAGGATGCAGTGACCTTTTCCCCTTTCTGTCAGGATGCATTGACCTCTTCCATTTCCTCCCAGGATGCAGTGATCTCTTCCATTTCCTCCCAGGATGCAGTGACCTCTTCCCTTTTCTCCTAGAATGCAATGATCTCTTCCCCTTCCTCCAGGATGCTGTGACCTCTTCCCCTTCCTCCCAGGATGCAGTGACCTCTTCCTCCCAGGATAAGTGTCCTCTTCACCTTCATTCCAGCATGCAGTGATCTCTTCTTCCAGGATCCAGTGATCCCTTTTCCTTCCTCCTAAGATGCAGTGATCTCTTCCCCTTCCTCCCAGGATGCAGTGACTTATTCCCCTTCATTCCAGCATGCAGTGATCTCTTCTCCCTTCTTCCAGGATCCAGTGATTCATTTTCCAACCTCCTAAGATGCAGTGATCTATTCCCCTTCCTCCCAGGATGCAGTGACTTATTCCCCTTCATTCCAGCATGCAGTGATCTATTCTCCCTTCTTCCAGGATCCATTGATCCCTTATTCTTCCTCCCAGGATGCAGTGGCCTCTTCCTCTCAGGACACAGTGACCTCTTCCTCCCAGGATGCAGTGATCCCTTCCTCCCAGGATCCAGTGACCTCTTCCCCTTCCTCCCAGGATGCAGTGACCTATTCCCCTTTCTCCCAGGATGCAGTGACCTATTCCCCTTCTCCCAGGATGCAGTGACCTATCCCCACCCTTCTCCCAGGATGCAGTCCCCTCTTCCCCTTCCTCCCAGGATCCAGTGACCTTTTCCCCTTTCTCCCAGGATGCAGTGACCTCTTCCCCTTTCATCCCAGGAAACAGTGGCCTCTTCCACCCAGGATGCAGTGACCTCTTCCCCTTCCTCCCAGGATGCAGTGACCTCTTCCCCTTCCTCCCAGGATGCAGCGACCTCTTCCCTTTCCTCCCAGGATGCAGTGACCTCTTCCCTTTCCTCCCAGGATGTAGTGACCTCTTCCCTTTCCTCCCAGGATGCAGTGACCTCTTTTTCTTCTTCCCAGCAACCTTGTGCAAGATGACTAGTTTTGCCTCTGTTCCTCCTGTATTTTTCTGACCCCCCCCCTGCTCTCTGCACAATCTATGTACAGCACAGTGATGATGTCATTGGTGATTTTACAAGGAAATACCTGGGTCTGTAGAGGCTTTTGGTGCACACAAAGTAAATTCATATAGTTGACTATTCATATCCTTGACTACTGAAGTACCGTATATACGTAAATGAAAGCTTTTGTGCCCGGAGTTCTACTTTAACTAAAAAACTGGATATAAAGCCCCCTATTCCCTGACCCTATCACTTTACTTAATTCATAATGAAACCACAAACAATAAACTAACCCCCATCTGTGGAATATTCATCTGATCTAGCACAGGGTGACTGCAAATGTGCTGAAACCAAGTAAGACACCCAAACACAGCCCCCACACCACCGCACCCAAGAAAAGCTCATCTGCAGTTACATAGTATTGTTTAGCAGGGTAGGGCTTTTGTTGTACTGATGAGCCTATGTAAGCAGCCCGGGGCCCATTGCCAGTGTAGCCTGTGAAGGAGCAGGAGTGTTTTTGTGAGAGAGGAAACAAAGGGGAAAAAAAGAGATCTGCATTTAGCAAGAGGGCTAATTGCCAAAAACCACAACAAAAAGACACAAATTTGCTTTTGAAATTCTCTTTGCGTTTACTCACTTTCTCACAATCTGTTTCCCTTGTTTTGTCTACTTCTAAATTCCCAGTTGTGGGCCTCGTATTCCGTGCCTTCGCTTTCTTTACACAACATCTAGCTCTGCCGGCCAGGGGATGACGTTTCTCGACAGCGCAAAGCTCCACTTAATATTAAGAGTAAAATAACCTGAAGATGGTGATTGCAGATATTAAAAACTCTCCTGCCTTTGGGAAAAATAGCAAGAAGGTGTTAAAAAAGAACTATGGGGTAACCTTTTTATCCCATAGTTCTATTCGGGGTCACGGGAGGACATATACTAACCTCCTCCGGTGCCTTAAAGCTCAGTATATAGCAAGCTATTGTCCGCTATATGCTGAAAGCGCCGCAGCCGGGACGTTTACTGACAATACTGTTGAGATCCACCCAGCTGGCTGATTGATAGCAGGCTCTGCCTATCTAGAGGCAGAGCCAGCTGTGACCGCCCCCTCTCCCGTCTATCCCTCCAGTCAGCGCTGGAGGATCGGAGAGGGGGGGAATCGCTGCGGGGAGCGGTGACTCACAGTCACCGCTCTCTGCAGGGAGATGATCGGGAAGTGATCGAGCGACGGTATGTGTTCGATCACTTCCTGATCTATAAGGTTGACGTGTGACAGTTACAATGCCGCATGTCGGCTCAAACCATGAGGATGAGTGTAGATCACTCACCTCATAGTTCTCCTTTAACAATACCCTTAGGGCTTGTTCACATCAAATGCAGACCAGATCTGCATGAGTTTCTGCACCCGCAGTGCAGTGGGTTGTGCCACGTTTTTGCCGCGTTTTTGATGCTTTCCGGGCCATTTTTGGTTAATAAAAAAAAAATATTATTTGGGCTTTTAGTGCGTTTCAGGGCAGTTGTGTGCATTTTTGATGCGTTTACATGCGTTCCAGAGCAGGTAAAATAGGGCTTGCTGCAGTTTTTTTTACATGCTCTGTAAAAGAGCCCAAAATACCATTGGAATACATTGGACGCAGTTTTGATCCGGTCTGTAACTGCTCTGCTCTGCTCCTGGAACGCGCTTGGTGTGAACAAGGCCTTAAGTAAAATGTTGGGTTGGGGCCTTAGGCTTTGTATAATCCTGAGGTTTTAGAATAAATATAATATTGTATTGTTATAGTATTACTCAGACGATAATACATGGAGGTGTTCCAAACTCTCCTAGCCTTGAGAAAATAAACAGATAAACAGAAGAACATATGACTACACCCTGTAAGTTCTTTCTCTGCCCTCAAATAGAAATACACGTAATCACAATAAACATGGAAAGTGATGGTGTACAGTGTACTGTTTTCGTGTTCCTTTTTTCATGCTGGGTTGTTGACGTTTATGAGATTGTGGAAGAACTGGTCTCTAGGTCTTATTTGCCTGCATGTTACAGTAGGTAAATCCTTTAAAATAAACACAAAGTGGAAAGAAGCTTTAACGTGACACTACATTCAGGAAATAAATCTTAAAAATGCATTCAAATACATTAATTATTAGCAAAAATGTATCTTATTTGTGTATCACTCGGCTGTAGATCCTCCAATCATCTCTGAATTGGTGCTGATATTGTCCTTCCTTCGGGAGGGCGGCTACTTTTGTTCCCCATGTTCCCTGTGTGTGTTATAAAGTAGTCACCGCTCCAAGCTCACTCCTATGATGGACTACAATCTCACATTTAGTTTACTAATTGTATTGAGATTGTAGTCCATCACGGGTAATACTGTAAAACAGATGAATGGTCTTTTCCACAAGATTTCGTGAGATTTGCAGGATAAAGCCCTTTTATTGTTTTTTTCTACACAGATCTACCACTAACGTGATCATGGGGCCGACAGTGAAAATGCGGAAAAAGAAGCTTGTCATTAATGATGTCAAGATGGCCAACCCAGTTCTAGGAGAGGAGGAGAGGTTTAACAGGACGCGGCTATATACAGACAAAGAGAAATGACGGGGGAGAGAGGTCCGCCTTAAAGGGAGTTCCCCTTCACTTCCTCCCAAGAGGTCCAGCAGGAATTATGAGGAGGTGATAACCTTTCTCCAACGGTTGTCACCCGAACAAGATTCCCTATTGTAAGTCTTCCCTTCACCTCCTGTTCGTGTGACAACTCAAAAATGTGGGATTTCCCATCACTTTCTTTACCGGAGACAATGGACACCAAGAACAATTGCGAGGGCCAATCTGCACAGTGGGCACATAGACATACCTTCCAATTTTCTGAGATGGGCAAGGGGGACAATTTGTAGCTTAGAATATGTAGGCAACGACGAATGAAGACATTCATGCCATGTCTACTTATCCTTTTTATGGGCATTGTACAATGGGAACTGCGCTAATTTAAGGTGCCCATACACCTGCCAATTATCGTACGATAATCGCGGGTGATACCGCAACCGTACGATAATCGGCAGGTGTATGGAAGGCGTGCAACCGTTTCTACTGTACGGTCGCACGTCTTTTGTCTTCCGAGCACGCTCGAAAACCCGCTGAGAATCGTACGATTTTCGGCGGGTCAGTGGCGTGCTCGGAAGACAAATGTCGAACAGGTCGGTGTGCGCAAGCAAACACTGCCCGCTGAGCATTGGAATCATCGGAAGCCCTCCCCGCCGCTTGCGATGATCGCAAGTACGATCTGCCTGTCCAAGATGGGCAGATCGTACGAGATTTTAATTACCTTACAACCATCGCACAACGAAAGTCGTGCGATGGTTGTAATGTGTATGGCCACCTTTAGAGGTCGGAGGAAATATTTGGTGCAGTAAAACACTTTTGATACAGTAGTGTTAAACTCTCAAACTTTTTTTCAATAACGAATCCAGCTGATTCTGCAGAAAACTAAAACGTTTATACATCAAGGAGCTGCATCCATTGTACGAGATTTCATTAGCATTTGAAATAGCTTAAAATCATATTGACTTTAATATCGCTTTAAGTGATACATCTTTATATAGACTAAAAGGAGGGACAACTGAGGAGGAAAGCGGGACAGAGGGATTTGGTTCCAATGAGGGACAGTTGGGGACTGTGCATGGATAACAATACAAATCTGACAGAGGTTCTAACCTTACCACAGTATATCCTACTGGCTTCACATACAGTTTAAGATAACCTGTGGCTTAAGCTCACTTTAAATGTAAATTATTTATTTGCCACCATTAGCATGACAGACAAGTGGTGACGTTACCCATAGTCATATGTATATCTTTGTTTTTGTATTCCAGATACACAATGGAATTGGGTTGCTGCAGGCAGTACGGCCGCGTACTCCCATAGTGAAGGACAGGGGCTGCGTACTAAGCACACGCAGCACCCGTCCTTCCTGGGAGCCGCCCGATACGGCCGTGCACGCAGCACGGAGCTGTACGTGCCGGACCATTCTAGTGTGAATGAGGGCTAAGGGCTGTGTTGCAATACTGAGACAAGATTGGTTGCAACTGTGAGTAGGCTGCCAGCTGCAGAAGACAATTGGGCGTGCCCATGACAAAGGAGGGTGCGCAGTTTGGTATCTTCACCCCGGGCACTGAATGACTTTGTCCCAGCACTGATGGTAAGCGTGCCATAATGTGCAAATGTACTGTACATATCCAGCAAGCAGTAAGGCCCCGTCAACACCAGAGCCTGTTGGGAGTAAGCGTTGTGCGTGGGACTCTGTTTTCCACAATTGGTTGCACGTCCCCATTGGGTCCCTGGATGCGAGCCAAACACTGAAAGGTAGTTCATGTTGCAAATGTGACGACATGCGTTCTGGGTTTTTCTTCTGTGCGTTCATACATACGTGGAAAAAACGCATTTGCTCAGATGCGTTTTGGGTGCCATTATCTAGTAATAGCAGCGCAAGCACGTTCCTTGTTTGCGCACGTATCGTGGACGCACGTTGAAGCGTGCACTTTTGTGCATATTTGACACGTGTTTACGATATGCCCTGGTGTGAACATGGCCTAGACTCTAAAGGTGCCCATACACCTATCGATTTCCATTCGGAAAATCGTCCATGGATAGTATTCTTCGAACGACAATCGATCAGTTGATGGGACACCAACGATTTCACTTACTTTACTCCTGGACGAATTTCCTCGACCGGAACATTTTTTGAACTGTACGAAAATCAATGAATTAGTGGCGTTTTTGTACAAAACGTATTGCAGCGAGAACACTTGCGCAAAGGAAAGTCCATTCTGTTGATCAGTGAAATTCGGTGATTCAGTAATGCTAACGGACGATTATGAAAATCGACATTGGTCTGTGCATGATGGCCTATTTGAGCTACAATTGAAAGAGGGATCTTGGCAGCAATGAAAATTTCCAAATCGAAAATCTATCGGAGCAGAATCCGAAACACCGAAGAGCAATAAAGACTTGAATGAAGCCACAGCGTGTTATGAAGTCCTGAAAGTCTCTTCTCCTTGTACATATATCGTCCAGCCAGCAGGGGGCGCTCCCCTATGTACAGCACACAGCAGTAGGAGGCGCATTCCGGAACTACTTCTCTATGGTTCCGTTTTAGAGCGCACGTTGAACGCATCGCTTCCGGTTATACACAGCGCTTCCGGTATAAAGAGCGCCGAAGGAGGATAACTCCTGGTGCAATTTTTTTCATTCCCCGAATCGGTCGCGAATCCGCGGCATCCGACCTGCAGCCATGGTGAGTACGGGAGAGGGGGACCTAATGGGGTGAGGGCGGCGGATTCTATTGTTTCTGGAGGATATAGCCCTGTGTGTTGTAGAGTTATATCCGCTCCTCAGAGTGACCGTGTATTGTATGTTATGTGTATGTGGAGTAATGGCGGTATTGTTGTCTCTATAGCGAGTGGATGTTGACTGGCGTGTGCTAAGCACTGAGCCAGTACAACGGAGACCAGGCACACATTGTAAATGAAAGTTTAAACTATAGTTTCCTATTCCCTCTAATATAGTCATTATGTAATCAGGTCCTAGATGAGACTCCTATGTACAAGGCCTTTATCTGAGATGGGATAGTACCGCTGTTGGCCACAGCCACCATGGTGTCTTGTATTTTTAGTGACTTTCTCCTATTTTTGGAAAGAAAAGGAGCAGGAAATGTAACACGAGATCTTCACCCATGAAATTAAAGGATTAGTCCGCCTTTCATACCATGTTCCACCCATATTTACACGAGGGTGCAGTGGGAACATGCATTCCTGCTCATGTGTGGGACTTTGTTTCCTATGCTTGCCGTGTGTTCCCATTGGATCCCTGGAATGCGTGTTTCTATTACACCCTGGTGTTATCCGATTAACCGATTAATCGAACTTAATAATCGGCTAACTAATCGATTTTGAAAATAATCGTTAGCTGCAGCTCTAGTGTGAACGTGCGTAGAAGCGCACACTTTGATCACGCTTGATGCACCTTCGTGATACGCACTGGTGCTTTTGGCTATCCCATGATGCCATTTGTCAGCCACACTTATCTGAATTGTGGGGTTCATCTCTTTGCAGGCTTCTGGACATCTTTAAATTCAAGGTGTGGCTGTGATGCTCACAATGTCATTCATTCTCAGATCCGTTCACAGGCTCTCAATGAAAAAAACCTACAAATTCCATCTGCCACTGCGGCACGGGGGCTTGTAGTTTTCAGGGGAGTACAAGTAGTGACACCTACCTTGTAGTGACACCTACATTGTAGTCCTGTGATAACACTGAAGTAGAGCTGCAACTACTAATCGATAATGAGAATCGTTGTCAGTTCTCATTATCGATTAGGTGATTCATCTCAGCCGGTCTCCTCTCACCACCACCACAATGCTATTTCAAATTGCAATAGCGAACTGGCTATTGCACCCACCCCTACTTGCTGTTTACATTCCCTGGCCGAAGCTATCTAGCCATGTGTGCTTGACTAGCTACTTAGAAGTTGAAAGTTGACCCTAGGGGTCTAATGGACCCCTAATGTCGCCTTAAAGAGAGCTTGTCACCTCCAGTGTGCTACCTCATAGTGGGCTTTTGAGCCCTACCATGTGATGGCAATAAAGTTAACAAAAAGATTTAAAAAAAATTTTAAGTACAAAAGTAAAGTCCCCCACAAATGCGTGCAAGCACTCCTCCCACCCGCAGTGCGATCTGCCTTGGAACGTGCTGTACCATGATGCTGTGCGATTGCAAAAAATTGTGCATGCAGTTTTCTTCCGAAGTAAACTTTTTTGTGACACTTTTTGTGCATTTTATTTTAAATTAAAGATGGTATTTTTATTTTATATTATCCGATTAATTGAAAAAAATATTGGCCAACTAGTCGGTTATGCAAAAAATCATTATTTGCAGCCCTACACTGAAGGTCTGGAACTCTGTATGGACCTGGGTCTGCAGGAGCTGACTCTGGCTGCAATGCAAAAAAATAAATGCACTCTTTTTTTTCTTTTTGCAATATGTGTACTTTTATTTTGCAAATAATGGAATTTGCCTTTAATGCAGAACTCTGGGCAAAAATCCCATTAACCCTTGCAGTGGGGCTATCCACACACTGCAAGGGGTTAACTGCTTGTTTTTGTCTAGGGTCAAAAATAAGTTATACTCACTCAATCCTCCGAGCCGTTTTGCTCTTTGGTCCTAGGAGCCTCTCTCCCCCTCCACTGCAATGGTCTAAGGTCCCTAATTCTTTTTATGACTATAGGAACACTGATGGTGAAGTGCCTCCTTAAAGACTAAGTTGGTTTGGTGGCAGGTTCTGCAGCTAGTCTGTACTTGCTGTACCATAAAGTGCCTCATCTTAACCTTACTAATAGTGCTCATCCTCCATGACCTGCCACTTGGTTTCCTGATTGTCCAGGAAGCTGGCTTCATGCTGTTTGGCCGGCTTGATGCTGGTTGGCTGGGATGCCGGCTTCCTGACCAAAGCTAGCCAATCGTGAAGCTGGGCAGCGAGTCATGACCTGCCGCTTTGCTTCCTGATTGGCCTGAAAGCCGGCTCCATGTTCCCTCGTGGCACTGCCGTTCAGAGGAAATCTCCCTCTGACTGGAGCATTTGGGTGAGTACGAGTTCTCGCCCAAATACTCCATCAGCACCGATATAGTACTGGTATTGTATCTCTGCACACGGCAATTAAAGACAGGATGCATGAGAAACTTTATTTTATTTTTTTTTTTTATAAGGCTTTGTATATGATTTCTCTTTCAGACGGTGGGGAAAAGCAGCAAGATGCTGCAGCACATTGATTTCAGAATGCGTTGCATTCTGCAAGATGGTCGCATCTTCATTGGAACCTTCAAAGCATTTGACAAGCATATGAATCTTATACTGTGTGACTGCGACGAGTTTAGGAAGATCAAGTAAGTGTTCTGTTTGGTGTAGTAAAGGAATAAAATCTAAACTATAACCTACCTGTTGCACCTGCTAATGTTGTCCTGTTTCCTTTAGGCCCAAGAACTCCAAACAGCCAGAACGGGAAGAGAAGAGGGTACTAGGGTTGGTTTTACTACGAGGGGAGAACTTGGTATCCATGACAGTAGAAGGCCCACCACCAAAAGACGTAAGCCCAAGTCTCTTTATTCTGCAGCATTTTCTACTGCTAGTATAATTCTGCTTTTATAAAGTATAACTGCTCTTTTGAAGCTGAACTCTGGGCAGATAAAAAGCTGTCATGGTGGCGTTATGTAAATACAGCTGGCAAGTGCCTTAAAGGAGACTTATGAGGTGAGTGATTTTCACTCAGCCTCATAATCTGAGCCAACCTGTGACAATCAAACTCACAGGTCGGCTCAATAGATCGGGAAGTGAGCAAACGCATACCGTCGCTCGCTCACTTCTCGATCTATCCGTGCAGAGAACCGTGACTGTCACTCACGGCGCCCTGCAGGGATACTCTCCTCCTCTGTCCGATCCTCCAGCGCTGACTGGCAGAACGGACGGAGGGGGTGGGTACAGCTGGCTCTGCCTCTAGATAGGCAAAGTCAGCTGAATTGTCGGGATCCGTTCCGGCGTCTCAGTATACCGCGGGCTGTAGCTCGCGGTATACTGAGCTTAGGATGGCGGGAGGACGCTAGTTTGCGTCCTCCCGTTACCCTAAGGAGCACCATGGGGAAAAGCCCTAACCCCATAGTTCTTTAAAAATGTAGTTCCACGTTTGCAGTCAAACTTGAGAAAATGCCACTGTTTGTGTTCCCACTCAGGGCTTACCCAAACAAAGTTTTAAAAATCTATTTACCTTTTTAGCTGTTTCTTTTGAATGCCTTTGTGTAAATTCCAAGCTGAAATTCCTGCTCTGGAAGTGAAATTGCACGTTGGCTCTTTTGATTGAGAGCTGAGCGATCACAAACCACTGTTTGTGAGTTTAGTCTTCTCCCTGAAGAGTGGTGACTGTCAGTCACCACTGTCTGCAGTGGTTTTTCCCCTTCCCTCCTTTTTCGCCAGTGCTCATTGGAGGGACAGACAGGGGAGGGGGTGGGCACAGTTAGCTCTGGCTCTAGAGAGCCAGAGCCAGCTGTCAGGCAGCGGGTGGATCCCGACCAACTGAGATTTTTCCCGACTGCGGCGCAGCTCTACGCTGCCAGCATGTGGAGCAGTAGCCTGCTAGATGCTGGCATTGGATCATAAGGGGACACTAGTAAATGTACCGTACTCCTTTGGCCCAAAAGGACTGCAGCCAAAAAAAGGCTTGGCTTTAGTTCTCTTTAAGCAAATATAAGCAGCAATTGTCTTAGTTATGCAGTGTAAATGGGAACGTATAACAAACCTAAAGTGGATCTAAACGTTTTTCATTAGCTTCTTGTAATGCCCGGCACAACAGCACCCACTAGGAGAGGGAGGGAGCACAATGGTTACCAGTCAGTGGCTCTACTGGATCATTAAGTGCTGTCCCATCTAATATTGGGAACTGAGTAGTTGACCTGGTCAATGTGCTGATGCTTTATTATCCAGTCATGGGCTGGAGTGGGTCCTTCAGCAAGACTTTTCTTACAGGGGTGTCTGTTACATAAGACGGGGGGAAAGTTGTAAATACTTTGACGGGAACCGTAATTTTTATACATAACTTTGTATTTCATGCTTTGCCTGGTTACTGTAGTAACCTGATAATGCATAACTTTCATGCTTTGGTATATAGGCTGTGTTTACAATGACCATAGCCAGCGGCTCAGGCTTAAGGTGCCATTTTCTTTCTCTTGCAGACTGGTATTGCTAGGGTACCCTTGGCTGGAGCAGCTGGAGGACCAGGAGTTGGCAGAGCAGCTGGTAGAGGTGTGCCAGCTGGTGCTCCTATGCCACAAGCTCCTGCTGGCTTGGCAGGACCCGTCAGAGGTGTGGGAGGACCATCACAGCAGGTAAGAAACGACATGCAATTTAGTGTCCCAATAACCACGGGAGAAAATATTCAGTGATGAGCTTTTATTTGTTCTTCCTAGGGATGCACCGATGCTGATTATTCAGTATAGAGTACTGATTTTTTTTTTTCCCCCTGACCAGGCGTTCCGGTATCTGAGCATTTGTGAGTGGGTACGAGTGCTCACACCAATACTGATACTGGTATTGGTGCATCCCTAGTTCTTGCAGATATTTTCTAAAGCATTGCTCTTTGCATAGTCCCTTTTAAGATTGGATTTGCTGGCATGTTTCATCCCTCCTGTGGAAACTATTAACCAGCCCTGCAATAGGAAATATATCTTAAATGATGGCTTGTCTGTTCCCACAGGTGATGACACCACAGAGTCGAGGTAACGTTGCTGCAGTGGCAGCAGCCACAGCTAGTATTGCTGGTGCCCCAGCACCGTATGCTGCCGGAGGACGTGGCGGTCCACCACCACCAATGGGTAGAGGAGCACCCCCACCAGGTATGAATAGTCTAGGTTCTTGCTTTGCTGGATGGGATCTGTGATGAGAATATGACTTCTGAAGCTGTTGATGAGTTCATAGCAGGATTATTCTGAGATCCAGTCTGACTTCTATACTATGACATGTCCATGTCTTATCTGCATATTACTGATTGCATTTTGTTTATGCAGGAATGATGGGACCCCCTCCAGGCATGAGGCCACCCATGGGTCCACCAATGGGCATGCCCCCAGGCAGGGGAGGACCAATGGGAATGCCCCCACCTGGTATGAGGCCACCTCCACCTGGAATGAGAGGTAAGAAGTTGAGGTGTTTTCTAAAATCTTCATAAAAGCTAAATTGGCTGTTTTTGTATAAGTTTAAAAACGACTGAAACCCAAAATATATTGCGTGAGGTTCTAGTTGCTGCATCTCTATACTTTGTATAATGGTTATGAAGGAGAGGTAAAACCTCTCTGGGATAGTGTATGGGGCATGTGGGGTTTACCACACGAGCAAGCATCCTAGCAGTTGTAAAAACATTGACCGGATTATATTCAAGTTTTTTCATACTCTCAGGATTAACTTAGAAATTACCCATATAACCAGTTTAGTCCAAAGCGCAAATTGGAGGGATGGGGGTAACTGCCACACACAATCAAATGAGCTTGTTAGCTAGGTGTGACCTGTAATGTTTATGCATTGGTAACTTTTTGGATAGAACTAGGGATGAGCCGATATAATTTTTTTGGTATCAAGTAATGATTTTTTTTTTTAACCTTAACTCCCATTAAGGAAGCCAGGCAGCATGTAATGGCACGCCATCTGGCTTCCCGATTAGCAGGGAAGCCGTTTCTATGCCCCCCGTCACCAGGTGACGAGACAGCATAGAGCCGGCTTTCTGGTGAATCAGGAAGCCAGGCAAAGCGTAACGACGCGCCCCCCGGCTTCCTAATGGAGCCGGCTTCACGGCCAATGCTACCTCATCACCAGGTGACGAGGGAGCATGAAGCTGGCTTTCTGGCCAATGAGAAAGCCAATCGACGTGTCGGACGCTGTCCGGCTTCCTGATTGGTGGGGAAGCCAGCTCCTTCGTCACAAGGGAGCATGGGGCCAGTTTCCTGGCCAATCAGGAAGCGCATAATGACTCGCTGCCCAGCTTCCTGGTACTGGAAGCTTAAGTATCGGGCCAGGCACAAGAGCATTTGGGTGTGTAAGAGTACTCGTCCAAATACTCTGCACCACTGCTATTGTCTGTGCATCCCCTGGCCAGGGTTCTCATAACCTCACCATACATGTTACACTGTTGTACAATCCACAAAGATTTACCAAAACTATGTAATCTGAGCATCCACCTGCAGGATACAATCCATTTGTAGCCAGGCAGGCCCTAGGTATATAGTTGTGTGGAGAGCTTTAGAGATTCCCCCTTGCTGTCCTGGTGAGAATCTTCCCCAGACAGGAAGTCATAGAAAATCTACAACAACATGTTTTGGCATGTGAAAGGCTAGAACCTGTCTGCTTTTTATTGCTGTGTTCCTGATTCTTTTTCTTAACATCCTGTTTGAAACCTATGTCTGTGTGACAGGTGCTTGGAATTTCTTGAACACAGGCCCATAGATCCGTAAAAAAAACAGATGTTGCAATGTTTTTCCACTCTAGTTTACAATAACATTTTGGGTGGATATTTTAAAGTAAACCTGTGGGCTCAACTCGGGTTTTAAGGACACCAGAGAACCCAATGTACATGAATAGGCAAAGATCAACGCCTGCCAACCATGCAGCCTTGTTGGGCACCAGTTTCAATGGGTGACTGGTGTACACTAGGCTAGGATCATGTAGCTGGAGGAGATACTTTTGAACTTGTGGTTGGTGACTGCATAAGGGATTGCCGGGGTTTTGGGGGGAAGGGAGCTTGGAGTATAGGACCATCTTACTATAAAAGGTAAGCTCACAGGTTTGTTTGAAGACTTAGTAATACTAAATATCCTAATTTGGCTCTTAACTAAACTTTGTTCATCCTTTTATTTTTTATACAGGTCCTCCACCACCAGGCATGAGGCCCACCAGGCCATGATCCAAGTCACCTGTAGACTTGTTTGCTCTTCTCTAGCTCTTTTGTTCTGCCGTCATGGGACTGTTGTGGTTAGATGTTTGTAACTTTCTTTTGTAAATTGTTTTTAATAAAGAATTAAAGAAAACTATGTTCTCGGCTGAAATGAATGAACCCCTCATCCCACATGAGAAGCAGTGCACTTCCCCATTCTGTTGACAGCAGCAGAAGGCTTTATTTTTTTTTGTTCATAAAATCCTTAACTAAAGGATGCAAAGTATTTAAACTTTGGGGTGTCCAACAGAGGTGTGAGCAACACCGCAAACTGACAGACCCAAGTAAAAGAGAACTAGGCACTGCTTGCATGTCAAAGCGCTGAGTGTCTGAAGAACCTTACACCTAAAGCTGGCATAAGCTGAGGCTGGCATGTCACCTGGTAGAACTTGGTGAATGTCTGATCAGAAGACCAGGCGGCAGCCATGCAAATCTTAGTTGCTTTATACTGAAAGCCCTCAATACAGTAAGCACTCAAATCCAGCAATGGGCCTTGAGAGAGAAGGGTGGAATTTGAGACTATAAACTTGGATTATGGTCTGGCTGAACTAGGATTATGGTCTGGCTGAACTAATTTGAGATGGGACTATCTGGGATTACAAAAAGCATGCAGTGGAGTAAGATGCCAAAAATTGTGGGAGGCTTCATTTTGGTGAACTGGAGACTGGCGGAGGGACAGGAGAATGGCTTGGTTGAGGTGAAAGGCACAGACTAGGAAGAAGGAAGTTCTGGGCCTCAACACCACCTTTTCCCTATGCAAAATTAGAAGTTTTTCTCTAGTCACCTTCCAGGACCGCATCAGAGATAGGCTCCTCCCACCAGAACAGGAAACGCATCACCCACACCTATTAAAAAGATCACATGCCTTGCATCCCTCAGTTTGTTTCCTCCGGCCAAGCAGGACATTGTAACATTTGTTGTTTTAGCTAGGCCTTCATGCTAGTGAGCAGGGGCCTCCCTCGGCATGGCGTATGGCATACAGGGTCAGGGGTCCTGAGGTACTCATGATGGGGGCTCCCAGGACAGTCCATCTGACCAAAAGAAGTTTCATGGGGCAGGTGTGAATCTCAGTATATATGTATATGCCTTTCGTTATTGGTGGTTATATACTGTCTGGGATAACCATTTGACTGCTTAATGTAAGCATTGATTCATGAGGTGGTTATGAATATCATCTGTGTTCCTTCTACATGCACTTGTATTGCTATACCTTAGGACCTTGACTCGATTCAGTAATGCATCATTGGTTGTGATGTAGTAGGGAATCTCAGTATGGGATTCATCTGAGTTCTTCATATCTACACGGTAACTGATGACCGTTTCAATACGGTGGCTCTGTAGTTATGAAGGTTAGTATTATCATCCGAGTTCATACTTAGTATAGTTATGGAACTATGCTTTCTACAAGATAACGGTGTTCTGCTTTGGTGACGGCATTACCAGTTATGAAGCTCAGCCATCGTATTATCTTCCAAGGTTATACTTGGTGCATTTTTATAGCCACATCTTAGTCACGGCTGTGAGGAAATCATAAAGTCCTACAGGCTTTCCTAGAAACTCAGTTGAACCAATTGGGGCATGTTCTTTAAAATCCTCTTGCTTAAAATGGCTTTGCTAGTAGCGTTATTTCAGCTAGGAGAGTCAGCGACGTGTACGCTTTGTCGATTTTGGATCCCTATTGCACAATTCTTACGGGCAAAATCGTATTGAATCCGGACCCGGCTTTCCTACCTGAAGTAGTTTCAGTATTTTCACAGAACACCGGGTGTGGTAATTCCCTAATTTTGTACCAATACATGGAATAAGGAAGCCGCTTTACAAGACATTGATGTTTGTCATTGTGGTATGCGTGCAATAGACTGCCTCCAAAGCAACCGAATTTCTATTTTGGTGGTCCAGGATGGGGGAGGTAGCAGGATAAAGAACCTTGCGGCTCTCACACCCGCAAGGGGTCAGAAGCGGGGCGCTGGAGTCTTCAGGGCAGGGGGCCCTTGGAGCAGACTCATTCTCTACAGCAGCATTATCTGATCTGGTGGATCCTGGTGCTAGCAGCTCTAAGGTAGGAGAGAGGGGTGGATCCCCCATTCCTATTCTATTCTCTGTGGGGACATGAGGGACTCGCTGACACCTTAAGTTTCGGCATTCATTAGGGGCTAGAGTACATGAACTAGTCTGAGCATCAGGAAATTGAAAATTCTGTTCATACTATTTTCAGGACCAAAAGAGGGCCTGAGAGCTTCCAGAAGCTCTAAAGGAAGGTGGATTAAATTAGCAGTCACACAAGCTTATGATCTACAAAATGTTATAACCACCAGAGCATATTATGTCACGCTCTTTGAGGGCCTTGGCCTCTTCATGGGCAGAAAGTGAAGTGGCTACACCAGATCAGGGCGGTGAGTCATGAGGTGCTGTCCGGCTTTCTGATTGGTCAGGAAGCCAGGCTGCCTAGCAACAAGTAAAGCCGGCTTCCTTGTCAATCGGGAAGCCAGGCAGCGAATCATAACCCACCGCCTGGCTTCCTGATTGGAAAGGAAGCCGGCTCTATGCTCTCTTGGCACTTGCGGTCAGAGGGAGATCTCCCCCTGACCAGAAGTTCCGGTATCTGAGCATGTGGGAGAGTACGAGTGCTCACACCAATACTGGTATTGGTGCATCCCTAGTTCTTGCAGATATTTTCTAAAGCATTGCTCTTTGCATAGTCCCTTTTAAGATTGGATTTGCTGGCATGTTTCATCCCTCCTGTGGAAACTATTAACCATTAACCAGTAACCAGCCCTGCAGTAGGAAATATATCTTAAATGATGGCTTGTGTCTGTTCCCACAGGTGATGACACCACAGAGTCGAGGTAACGTTGCTGCAGTGGCAGCAGCCACAGCTAGTATTGCTGGTACCCCAACACAGTATGCTGCCGGAGGACATGGCGGTCCACCACCACCACCAATGGGTAGAGGAGCACCCCCACCAGGTATGAATAGTCTAGGTTCTTGCTTTGCTGGATTGGATCTGTGATGAGATTATGACTTCTGAAGCTATTGATGAATTCATAGCAGGATTATTCTGAGATCCAGTCTGACTTCTATACTATGCCATGTCATGTCTGATCTGCATATTACTGATTGCATTTTGTTTATGTAGGAATGATGGGACCACCTCCAGGCATGAGGCCACCAAAGGGCATGCCCCCACCAGGTATGAATAGTCTAGGTTCTTGCTTTGCTGGATGGGATCTGTGATGAGAATACAACTTCTGAAGCTATTGATGAATTCATAGCAGGATTATTCTGAGATCCAGTCTGACTTCTATACTATGCTATGTCATGTCTGATCTGCATATTACTGATTGCATTTTATGTAGGAATGATGGGACCACCTCAAGCCATGAGGCCACCCATGGGCCCACCAATGGGAATGCCCCCACCTGGTATGAGGCCACCTCCACTTGGAATGAGGTAAGTTGAGGTGTTTTCTAAATTGGCTGTTTTTGTGTAAGTTTAAAAACGACAAACACAAAATATATTGCGTGAGGTTCTAGTTGCTGCATCTCTATACTTTGTATGATGGTTATGAAGGAGAGGTAAAACATCTGGGATAGTGTATGGGGCGTACCACACGAGCAAGCATCCTAGCAGTTGTAAAAACATTGACCGGATTATATTCAAGTTTTTTCATACTCGTATAACCAGTTTAGTCCAAAGCACAAATCAGAGGGATGGGGGTAACTGCCACACACAATCAAATGAGCTTGTTAGCTAGGTGTGACCTGTAATGTTTATGCATTGGTAACTTTTTGGATAGAACTAGGGATGCGGTGATATCGTTTTTTGGTAGATCAAAGTGTAATGACGCGCCCCCCGACTTCCTGATTGGCCGTGAAGCCGGCTCCATGCTACCTCATCACCAGGTGACGAGGGAGCATGAGCTGGCTTTCTGGCCAAGCTAGTCGGCGTGTTATTACACGCTGCTCGGCTTCCTGAGTGGCCGAGAAGCCAGCTCCTTCGTCACAAGTGAAGAGGGAGCCAGTTTCCCGGCCAATCAAGAAGCCAGGCAGAGCGTAATGATTTGCTGCCCAGCTTCCTGATGCCGGAAGCTTAAGTATCAGGCCAGGCATAAGAGCATGGGTATGATGGATTGGGGTGCAGAGGATGGGTATGATGGTGGATTGGGGGTGCACAGTGTCAGGTCCCCAGGGTGTTTGGGGGCACTTACTGTCTGAACATTGCCTCCATGTCTTTGATCTGCTGAACAACTTTAACTCGGTGTAGGGATTGAAGACCCTCATGCTGGGCTGCTCCCCATCTGCAGTCGCCGGTTCAGCCTGGATGCCAGCTCGTCCCCGTCCCGCTCACATCCCCGCTGTGGCCCTGATTTTTTTTTCTTCACATCCTGTTTGAAACCTGTGTGTGAGGCGGGTGCTTGGAATTTTCACCTGTAGACTTGTTTGCTCTTCTCTAGCTCTTAATTTGTTCTGCTGTCATGGGACTGTTGTGGTTAGATGTTTTCTAACTTTCTTTTGTAAATTGTTTTTAATAAAGAATTAAAGAAAACTTTGTTCTCGGCTGAAATGAATGAACCCCTCTCATCCCACATGAGAAGCAGTGCACGTCCCCATTCTGAGGACAGCAGTAGGATCTATTTTCTGTCCTTATTAGAATCACAGACCCAAGGAAAAAGAGCTAGGCACTGCTTGCATGTTAAAGCGCTGAGTGTCTGAAGAACCTTAAACCTAAGGCTGGCATGTCACCTGGTAGAACTTGGTGAATGTCTGAACAGAAGACCAGGTGGCAGCCTTGGAAATCTTAGATGGTTGCTTTATACTGAAAGCCCTCAATACAGTAAGCACTCAAATCCAGCAATGGGCCTTGAGAGAGAAGGGTGGAATCTGATCCTTGAGACTATAAACTTGGATTATGGTCTGGCTGAACTAACTTGAGATGGGACTATCTGGGATTACAAAAAGCATGCAGTGGGGTAAGAGATGCCAACAATTGAGGGGGGCTTTATTTTGGTGAACTGGAGACTGGCGGAGGGACAGGAGAATGGCTTGGTTGAGGTGAAAGGCACAGACTAGGAAGAAGGAAGTCCTGGGCCTGAACACCACTTTTTCCAAATTAGGTTTTGTTTTGTGGGCTAAGGCTGCCCCTTACATTCGTCAGTATTTTATTTGAAATTCTAGTAAATGCTCTGGAACAGGCCTTCTTAAACTTTCTCCACTCGTTACCCCTTTTTGGTAGCAGTTGATCAAATGTCCATGCATATCAGTCTGGAGGAGTGGCTGTTCCTAGGCAGAATATATTCAGTAACACCCACATGAGACACCGTGATTGTAAACTAAATAAATGAAGGGTTTGGCCAGGGATGGCAAAGCTGAACAGCAAAGCACGAGATCTACTTCCTCACACCACCAAAGGACAGTTTCAGTCTATTTTGCTGCAGCTTCCAATGCACACTGAGCAGCAAAACCAACGTCCATAAGAAAAGCCTGTATAGAACGTGAAAGGGTGGAGTTCAGCTTTCATACCCACAGGTAGGTAGACGGCATCCAAGAATTGCCATGTCTGACAGTTTACCTGTGAGCTAGTTTAGAGATCCTGGAGTCATAGAACCCCTAATGCTGTCGGCTACAAAGGGGAGGTAGTACTGCACCCCTCTTCCAGCATAAGGACAAGACTTCCCTCCAACACACAAGATAGCATTTTTCTGATACTTAAAGCTGAACTTTAGCCCCACATTTTTACCCCACACTTGTAGCAAGTCCTGAATACACCCAATTCCCTCCCAACATTCATACCCATCCAACAAGCAGACTGCTCAGAAGGCACATCTAAGGCCTTGGTTCTCAACTGGTGGGTGTTGGCTCCCCACATGCCTTCCACTTTTCTAGGAGAGGCTCCTCTGCCTCCCCCTAACGTGGCACTGTCAGTTCTCCTGCCATGCAGCCATTCAAAATATACTGTGCCAGCTTGAGGTAATGGGAATATGGCCACGAGGGAGCCCCATCACATGTTCTATAGGAGGTGCCTGGACCTGAGTGAAATCACATCCTGGCACCTCTACAGGCTGTGAGGGAGGTGTACAAGCAATGCACATATGGATGGAGTTCCATCACAGCAGCCCACACTGGACCCCAGGCTGAGGATCCACTCCAGTTCTCATAAGGTAGGGAGACGGGGGGGAATCTTAAAAACAAAGTGTGTATGATTGTCAATGTTTTTGAGGGCCCAGTCACAAGTACAGTGCAATTAACACACAATCACAACTACTGTGTTGCCATTCATTGGAATGGTACCCCAAATGCACCTCCCACCCGCAGTGAGACATGACATATGGGTCATGCAGTTACACAGGTTGGGAACCACTGATCTAAGGGAATCCCAGGGATGTGTTTTTACATAATGGACTAAAAAAAAAAAAAATGCCAGTTAAAGATCAATAGGTCAGGGACTCTCTAGAAGAATTTGATGTACAGGTAGACTTCTAGTTAAACTGGCCCTGTGCCTCTTTTGGACTCTGATGGGTCACCTTATTGAATAGTGAGGGGTGAAGCAATGTCAGTTGCCTAGCTCTATGGTGGATTGTTTTCACATAAGGTAACCCACTTGTATATTGTTAATCATATGCCTAGTTTTAAGTTTCTTGGGTTTACATCAAGTAGCTTAGTACTCATCACCCCTGTAGGAAGTCAGTAATTGAACAATGTTTTTGGGAGGCACATCAAGCCAGAATTTCAGCTGTTAGATGACTACAGCTCTACCCAAACCTGGTTTGTACGGCGGTAACCCATAACTCAATGCAAGTTTGCACTATGCATAGTATCCACTATGGATATGGCTTGCCTACAATCAAACTGTATCCACAGATGACAAGAGGAATAGGAAGCTATGGGGAAGGTATTCCTGCAGCAAAGCGCATTTCCTTGCTAACAGAACTCATAAAAGAATCTCTAAATGTGTTTTTTTTTTCTTTTAATAAAAATTATTTCACATTGCAAAGAAAAATACAATATAGAGTCCTTTTATCCACTGGCTGCTGAGATCATTGTACTATCTTCTGGCTTAAAGAGAACCCATCATAGAAATATGCATTGCAATTAGCCACTTGAATTTTAGAAGCATAGGGGTTTAAGGCTGTCCTGGTTTCACTTCTTAATCATTGATTTAGAACCAGTCACAGAGTTGACTGGCTGCATACTTGTTCCCGGTCAGCGTCTCACTAAGTAGTGAAGCAAAGAATGGATGACGGCTCTTCATTGCACCTGAAAACTAAGAATGCAATGGCAGCTTCTATACCGTTATCCTGACAAGCTCCCTTCTACCACCATACTCTGATGTGTTGGACCTCCACAGCCATTGCATATATATTAGTCCAGATACAGTAAAGTCTTCCCGTAGAATGTCTTGAAGAAATCAGGAACGAGACCTCACTTTCTGCGATAACTAAGACAAACAAAACAAGACAAGACATTTCTTTAAAAACTGCAAAGACTTACAGCTAGGGGTAAGCACTGAGTTGGTAACAACAGTGGGCAGGTTAAAGGAAAACACCATCCTACATGAACATACTGTATAATATATTGCTCCATAACCATACAGTGCCATTTTATTTATAACTTATGAGTTGACCAACATGGCACAGTGTAAGAAAAGCCTTTACTGCTCCATCAATATAGTTCACATTGAATGGGGGGGTCCCACAATTATTGCCGTCACTGACAGCTCACTGTAAAAATCAAATCTATGGCAGTTCCAAAAAACTCATGGCCCAAAGCGCAATAGTAAAAAAATAAAGCATCTTTTTTTTTCCCCCCCTCAACATCTCCCCAAACTTCGTGTGGCTTTCAGATTGGCACAACAACAGTGCGTAGAGAGCTTCATGGAATGGGTTTCCATGGCCGAGCATCCAAGCCTTACATCACCAAGTGCAATGCAAAGCTTCGGATGCAGCGGTGTAAAGCACGCCGCCACTGGACTCTAGAGAAGTGGAGACGTGTTCTCTGGAGTGACGAATCACGCTTCTCTGTCTGGCAATCCAATGGACGTGTCTGGGTTTGGCATTTGCCAGGAGAACGATACTTGCCTGACTGCATTGTGCCAAGTGTAAAGTTTGGTGGAGGGGGGATTATGGTGTGGGGTTGTTTTTCAGGGTAAAAAAAAAAAAAAAAAACCTCTACAGATTACAATCTTGTTTTTTCCCCCCACATACCGTGATTTAGATTTAAAGTTTCCTTTCTTGTGCTGCTGAATTCCCAGCCGTTTTCTGTCCTCAAAAGATGGGCTACAAAAAGACAAAAGAACCTTAGAACACAAACATATAGAACTTACAAACAATATTTGTACTTAGAGTGAGATCTTCGGCACGGCAGACAGGAAGATTTCCTCTTTGAAATTTATGAATATAATCCGCTCCCAAACTCCCTCTCTCTGCACGCGGGCTTCCTTTTTGACGTGGTCCTCAGGGTCCCCCGCTCTTGTGGGAGACCTGTGACCACGGCAAATTAGATTAGGTAAGACAGCACGGAGCAGGGTAGAGAACATGCTTCGTGTGAATAGTGACACAGGAATGCAGCCTTCCCGTTACAGGAGAACGCACACAGAACTGTGCTACAACTCCTGTGTTGGAGGTAATAGGGTCAATAAAGAAAACCTGTCACCTCCAAAAGCTATCACACAAGGGCTTGTTACCGATGTAAAAGTCAATAAAGTCAAGTGAAAAAAAAAAGTAAAAAATAAAATTAAAAATGGAAATACAGAAAAATGGGAAAAAAATAAATAAAAAATGGGAAAAATAAAAAAGGTGATAAAGTAGAAATAAATGATAATTAAGCATAAAAAAATCTTAAAGAAAAAAAAAAGTAAAATCAAATCTAAAAAATTAAAACCAACCACGCTGCACCTATCATCTGCATGCAAATAAACGCATGCATGGGGCATTATGCGTGTGAGCGGAGTGGGCGATCAGTTACCGCACGGCAATTGTGCACAAAATCGTGTGGATGGCCGGGCGGTCACAGAATCGCACACCACCACTGATTGCACTGGCAGCGCCATTATTGTCTAATAGCACCCCAGTCGCACCAGGCAGACTGTGCGGTTTCCTGCTGCAATTGCACATCATCGTGGCTGAAAACACTGCATGGTGCGTGTCGCAAAAAAAAGGTGCAGATTACCATGCGGATGAAACCACATTTAAAATCAATAGGGCCGCATGGCAACCACATCTGACCGTCTGCACCCGCCCCAAAGGGTAAATTCACTTTCCCCAAGTAATTTGTGAAAATTGAATTACCCGCACAAATCTGCCCCCTCTGCCTCCCTGCTATACTTGCCTTTCAGCAATCGGTCCTTCCCAGCCGCCAGTACGAGTGTACTATCTGTACCATGCATTCTGACTTCGCTTGCAAAATGCAAGCAGTCGTTGGTCAGTGCCGTCACCTGACAGCACTGACCAATGAGAAGCTCTTCTTGGCACTGCTAAATACGATTTTGGTTGATTTTTTTGTATCAGGACAAGTAGATCGGGCCCCCGTTTAGACCTTGGACAAGTAGTTTTAAAAAAATATCCACACCCCTGTTCACCGACTATCACTGTACACTGTCCCCTAGTGACTGTATTAACTTCCTGTAAGATTATTAGGGGATCAATAAAACTTGGCAGTTGCATCAGGCAGGATCTGTTTGGGTCACCCAGGCAGAATGGCATGGTCGCTCTGCTGCATAAAGTTTGCAGTGTGCCTGCTGCCCCCTTTCTTGCCAGAGCGTCCCAGGTTGCCAAGATCCGGGGAGATGTGCAAGTGCCATTCACATCTCTGCCCAGCTCTTAACCTGCGATGCTCTGGCCGGCGTCCTGCCCAGCACCTGGCAACCATTGAGGGCCCCCCCAACCCCGCAGCTTCAGGCGGCACAAAGGATAGGGACACCCCTATAAACCCTCAGATTGCTGCACACATCTTCAAGGCCCATTTCTTTCTTGTCGCAGGATGGATGAATAAGAAGTGACTTACCCGGCTCTGTATTTTTTCAGGGCTTTGCGGCTCGTGTTTGTTAGCTCCTCGTCAAACACTGTGTGTTTCTTCTGCTTCTTTGACGGTTTGGCTGGAAAAACAAAAGTAGAGGGCTCTGCCATGATCGGAAGTTAGCGTGCTAGAACCTTATTTATATTACAAGGGGACAGGTTTACAGCTTTCAATTAGGCAAATGAGGGGTTAAAGTGATATCACAGCCTCATTTTTTTTTTTAAAGCCATTTCAACTGCTGATGTAGACTTACAATGTATGCTGCTTCTTGAGGTTGCAAAATTTTGGTGTTCTCCAGAGTGCTGTCCCTGATTTTAGAAAGGCTCCTCTACCTTGAAGGGTCACATGGAGCCCCCCTTACCTGCATGCTCTCAGCCTGGACTACAGCCAAACGTCACGGGTGTGTCTGAACAATTACACCAGCCCTGATGGCGTGGCACTCCCCTGCGCTGCTCCTTCCTCTTCTAGCTGGACAGCTGCTGAAGACTAAACTACTCAGTGGCCATACTTCCCGACTGGAACATCAGGTAAGTGGCACTGAAAGAACTGGGGGCAGTGGCTTTGACACATAAGAACTGTAAGTGCATAGGCACAAATATAAATAACGTAATGTGGAACGTTCATTTGCATTCTCTAAACCATCAGATTTACCCCTAAAGCTCCACCCTGGAGCATCCCCACGGTTTCCTTTGGGCCTTCCCACAATGTAATGTCTAGGACCTAAAGGATCTATCGGCAACCAGACCATCGTCACGCATGTGAATGCGAAAACCACCATCAGAAAGTTATTTGCATATTCACTTTGGGAGGATATGGGTGACAATGGAAGGACAAATGTGAGAGTAAGCCCCTGGTGCTGAGGGCTTATACCCCCTAACCGGTGCAGATGCCCAATACCCCCCCCCAAGGTGTGCTTTACTGTATGTACAACTCCTAACCCAGCATTTAATTTATCATAGTAAAATGAATCCTTCTACATATAAACATTTACCCAAGTACCCAATACATAACCATGTTCCTCTGTCCTGCAGACATTACATTAGCAATCGGAGATGGAGCTGCAGCTGCCAATGAATGAATAAGGAAGTTCTTCTCAATACTGAAGATTGTGAATACCAATTTAAGGCTGTCAAAAGAAATCAAAATAGAAATATAATAATAATAATAATGCGACCTGTGGAGGTAGAACCACCCTGGGCCCATCTGACCATCTCAGTGGATGAGACGTGGCATTGCTTATCCTCTTGAATATACTAGTTGCCTGGCTGTAATTTTGATCTAGCAGCTTCAGTATTGTAAACCCGACCCTCAGCAAGTATGCAGATCAGGAAAGCTGGAGAAAATGTTCAAAATAATACCTGCATGCTTTTTCCAGGACAAGAACTTTAAAGGGTAAGGCAACCTTCTAATACAGTTTCCAGAACCTTTAGACAACACACACACACACACACACACACACACACAAAATTGCTATTCTTACCTAGATCTTGTTCCAAAACCTGAAAAATTGTTTACTTTTCCCCGCCAGCTTCTTGATTAAAAATCCTCAACTGTGCAGAAGTCTATAAAGCTGGTGCATAGCTTTATAGAAGTCTATGGAGCTGATCCATATACCAGACCCGTAAAAGGCTATGGTGCTGAAATGCACAGGTACAAATGACAGGCCAAGTAGCCAAGGGGGGGATGTAAACAATGCCGTGGCCCTTGGAACAAGATTTAGGCAAATATAGAAGTTTGAAGAGGGAGGTTGGGTTAAACCTACTTAGGAGGATGGGGGGGTAAAACTTTAACTATTGAAGCAAGAGGGTCAGTTGGTATTTCTCAGACTTCTTTTTGCAGCCTCCATGTTTCTTATGACAGGAATCCTTACAATAGCTCACTATATTATCGCTGCCTGTGCCTACCTGCGGCTTCTTCATCTTCAGGCATTGCCCGGGCTCTTTTGGGTTTGCGGTCCCTCTTAGCTACACGCTCTGCATACATCTGAGCCTTCAAGATCTCAAACTGAGAGCGTTCTTCAGCCTGAAATGAGAAAATACCGGTCATAGTACAGCAGAGATGGAATCGAGGAAACTGAACAGTCCTTTTGTTTCGGTCTTACCGTCATCTCTTTCTTTTTAGCGTCTGCCACGAATTTGTTCCTATTTTTTTTCCCTCTCAGTGCCAAATCAAACTCCTGAAGGGCATGGGATACTGAAAGTATGAAAACAAAAAATTTATAAGCACCACTGCTTAAAAAAACAACCCCAAACCCATATTCATGGAGCCCAGCATTGCATATTTATAGGATCCAGCTTCGGGGTTCTAAATCCAGAGGAGTGCAGAAAAAGAAAAAATATCAAATCAATGGGAATGTTAAAAAACAAAAACAAAACCCAATTGTGCAACCTGTCAAAAATCACATGACTGCCTCTTATCCAATCATGGGGCTCTCTCTGCTGCAATTAGTATAGAGAACGCTGCGGGGCTCCACCGGCTATACACTGCGGACCAATATTCCCCTGTGCAGAATTCATAATAGGAGAGGGCACGGCCAATCAGGTATGCTGCATGCACATGTGCTAACTAGGATCATGCAGGAGAAAGAGTGAGCAGAGCAAAGCTTATCCATATGCTCCAGCTCCTTCGATGTCCAATTAAGAGCTGTGGCTGTGATGTTGACCGATTTATGTTGCTTAACACCACTGCAGGGAAGCCAGGTCACACCAGCTGCCTATGCTATCTGGACGGGCTGTGTAATTCTCAGGACTGCCCTGAGAGAAATACAATTCTATTTACAGGTAAAAACCCCATATATGTACTTTCAGTGGAAAATAAATATCCGCGATTGCCAATGCAAACGGGTTACTTTCCTGAAGTTTTTACAACAAGACCCGTTAAAGCCCATAGACACAATGCAAATGCATAGCCCCCACTGCAGGCCATTGTCTGCACCTACACTTTTCTTTCTTTCTCTCTTCCCGGGTCTGGAACCAGCTTCTCTCTAGACCTTGAGGTTCACTTCCTTCTTGCAGTCTCTTTTGAGCTGTACTGATCTGAAAAAACATAAAAGTTCCACTTCATCTTCCACTTCAAGAAACCAAAGCATTAGCAGCATAGAGAAGGGGCTCCTTACGTAACATCATTTTGTAGTAGTATAAAAAAAAAATGTCCATCAATTAGGTGGAACCATTGACAAAAATAAATTAAAAATGTTGCATCCTCACAACCACAAACCTTCAGTTGATCCAGAGTAATCATGTGTTGAATCTGAAATTCTTCCAAGGAAAACGCATGAATATAAAAGTGGTGTATAGTAAAGCTTTCCATGAAAGAAAAGATGGGAGCCAAGGTGGGAGAAGCCAAGGTGGGAGAAGCCAAGGTGGGAGAAGCCAAGGTGGGAGAAGCCAAGGTGGGAGAAGCCAAGGTGGGAGAAGCCAAGGTGGGAGAAGCCAAGGTGGGAGAAGCCAAGGTGGGAGAAGCCAAGGTGGGAGAAGCCAAGGTGGGAGAAGCCAAGGTGGGAGAAGCCAAGGTGGGAGAAGCCAAGGTGGGAGAAGCCAAGGTGGGAGAAGCCAAGGTGGGAGAAGCCAAGGTGGGAGAAGCCAAGATATGCTTTGATGCGGCAGTGTGGCTTCATACATATTTGCAAATGTATGCAGCAAAACACATCTGTTTCTCTGTGTTGAATGCTGAAGAATTTTTGTATTGTTCCTGATATGTAATCGCACACTAAACCCAACCAAAATGTAATATTCTGCCGCTTGTCAGTCCTTCTGTTTGGTGGCTGCATTTGATTCATTTTGTCAGCCTCCCCCCTTTATTTTCACCAGATAATGCTGCCTGTAACATAGACCCTGTCCCAGGTTAACAACAATCACCGTACTGTTTCTATGGAGGAGCAACATTATCAATCTAGGACAGAAAGTGTGTTAAGACTTAAGAACATCTCCCCTCCTACGAGATCCTAGAAGAACTACAGAACAGCTACCCTCATATTCTGACATAAAGAGCTTGGAACAACATAACTAATAACGCAGTACAGGCAGAGAGCATAGATTAGATTCTGGTAGGATCATCAGCTATTTGGAAGCACTGAAAAAAAAAAGTATAAAAAAACAGGGACCATGTGACTTGCATAGGTTTATTTTATTTTTTTCCTGTAGTGACCACTGACTGTATTGTGCACCATTTATCTTCCGTATGCCATTTTGTCCTGTGTTACTGAATAACCCCATACATGCAGACAACGGATCAGTACACAAATCCCTCCTACCTGAGCCTCAGATTTCTGCATCTCCTTCTCCTCTTTTTCCAGCTGTAGTACAGCATAGATCTCCTTTTCCATGTTTTTTATCTTTTCCCGAAACTTGGAGATGACATCTGATGGGAAACATGCATAAGATTACAAACAATACAGCATGAATCTCCATCATCCAGCTGAAATGTCACCCAGCCCCTCACCTTGTGGAAGGACTCTGGCCTTCACAGCAGCCTGTGCTTTCTTAACAATGTCCTTCAGTATTTTCCTTTCTTCTTCGCCAACCAGAGACACGGATCGGCCAGCTTTGCCAGCGCGGGCTGTACGGCCAACCCTGTGAACGTAGTGCTTCATTGTGGCGGGCATAGTTAGATTAATCACCTGAATGAGAAACAGACATTGTATTAGACCCCTTAGAGGGCTTTTGTATACTCTTTTTAATGTTCAATGCCTCTCTCCCCACTAGAACAATGTGTAGGCTGTATTTTAGGACCACTGAACTAAATCCAATTCATGGAATTACCCTGTCTGTGTAATGTTCTGAGCCCAGTTGTGCTAAGCAGATGCCTTTCCATTGCTGACCTTAGTGTTTCAAAGAGTTGGTGTGCAAAGTATGAAGAGACATCACTTCTGAGTATATCTGCAAACTTACACATCCACTAAGATTTATTGTAGGCTGCCATTGCTGATCTCCTTCAGCACATGTTTCCTGGCTCTCTCTAGCTTGAATTCTTTCACTTATTGACTCAGAGCAAGTGTGAAGATCAGAAAAGTTGGAATGAAGGCATAGCTCTCATCTGCCTACTTCCAGGTCAGCGACTCAAAGTACTGAAGCCACTGGATTGTGTCAGGGAACTCATATTTTCACAAGATGATGTCAGCAATGGCAGATGCTCTGCACGCTAAGAAATGTTCCACTTTGCGTGGTAGTTTGTGATTAAACCACTGACACAATCTCACACACACATTCCCCCCAATTTTAGGGGGTGCAGTGTGGGCTGCTGTACTGTGACGGAGCTCCATCCATATATGCATTGCTTGTACAGCTCCCTTGCACTCCCTGTAATGGTGGCGGGAGCCAGAATGTGATGTCACGCGAGGGAGCTATAAGCAATGCACGTATGAATGGAGCTCCCTCCTGGCCATATCCCCAGCCCACCCTAACCTGACAATCAGCGCCAGGCAGAACTGACAGCGATGCATTAGGGGGGGGGGGGGGGTGCAGTGGAAGGCATGCGGTGACCCACAGAACATGGGGTCGCGATCCACTTCTGGGTCATGACCCCACCAGTTGAGAACCACGGTTGTATATAATAAAGTTGCTCTGCATTCAGCTCACCGTTTTAACTCCATGAATATCCAACCCTCGAGCTGCCACATCTGTAGCCACCAGAATATCGATCTGCTCATCTTTAAATCGTCTGCAAGATAGGAGTAAAAGTCAGAAGTATTGCACATCTCCCTAGTGGTCTTAGGATCAGTTTTGGCGATCGTGTCTAGGGGAAGGATCTCGTTACCTGAGGGCCTCCAGACGTTGCGTTTGTGAAAGATTTCCATGAAGTTCACCAACTTTTAGACCCATCAGCCCCAATAGGATGTGCATTCGGTGTGCTTCTTTCTTGGTCTGTATAAAGAGCATGACATGGTCCTGGAAGGTGCGGGTCAGGAGAGCTGGTAAAAACAAACAGTCATAGTGAGTTACAATAACTTCATCAAGATTCTGTGAATCTGAATTGGTGATTTCTTAAAGCTTGCTGCTGGCATTCGAGTGACCACTAGGGTTTACCACAGCATTATTAGTTGATTTTCTATTTTGTTTTTAAATATAATAATAAAAAAAAAAAAAATGGCAGTGCATTAAAATGTTTTTCTGATTAATTGGTGGAAGACACATAGGCAGTATGTAGATAAAGGGCTAATGTGATATGCAGACATGGGGATTACCAAAGCATGGCAAAAGTGGTTTGCCTTTAGACTGTCTCTCTTTTAAAATCTCTGTACCGAGTGGTCTGAACAGAGCAGGGCAGAGAGGGAAAACACACTGCTTTGAATCACCTGCATGTACAAAATTCAGCTTCGGGTACTAAACTCTGTAAAGCAAGCTACTTCACAGCTGTTAATAAATACAATAAAAGATACACTTTATAACTCATCAAATCTTAAAATATATTTTTTTAGTCCCGGCCATAATACATAGAACTTGTGTAATAAGTCTGTGTAATGACTTTCATCACTTCAGCGCGTTCTTTACACACCGCACACAATTGCTTCCCGATCTCCTTCACGGTTTGGTCGGATCCTCACAAATTCTTGGCGCAGGAATGGGGCCACGTCTGTGTTACTATTTACAAAGACACGCACTGGATTGCGGAGAGACACAGCAGCCAAGTCTTGAACCTGTAAATGGATGCAAATGTCAGTGTCTTACATGGAAAAGGTTATAAACCTGGGCAATTTAAACTTAGTAAGGCAGCCTCCCAAGCTAATCCCTTAGTGCCTCTGTTGTAGAAGTAACAGGTATATGCCGATAATCACAAGAGCCAACCCCAATATTGCTGTAGGTGGAACAAAGTCCGATACAGGGGATTTTCCAGCAAGTTCCTAAAACAGAATTCAAGGCCAAAAGGCCCTCACCGGAGTGTTCCTCTACAGGAAAGGGTGGCACCTGATCTGCCTGCCAGCCTAGACACTCGCCTCACAGAGATGATGGCAACAAATACAACCTTGTGAGTGAGACTGGAAAGGGAATTATCACTGACAGATTCAAAAGGGGTGTTTTTGAAGTGCTGAGAAAAATCAAATTCAGACCCGGGGTGGTAATGGTCTTTAAAACAGAAGATTCGGGTGATCTGGAAGAGGACAATGTCTGTAAGAGCCCACTTTAAAGCTTGAGGATCTGTCTGTATTCTCTACTGGTGCTGCCTCCAGTCTGGGCTCCTAGGACAGCTAAGACTTTCCAGTGCACCCTATTTGCAATCTTTCTTTATGGAGACTACAAAAATCCTGAAGACTGAGACTCTTCAGACAAAGGCTCATCCGTCAATGACTGAAGAGACTCACAGTGTCAACAGGGACACACTGGAATTGTTAGTGGAATGTGAGCTGGAGGCAGCAGGACTGTTCCCCTTGTGTCTAATAAGAGACATGTTTCACCACAAGATTGAGGCAATGTAGCTCAAGCTACCAGTTTCTACAAACCCAACTACTGAAAAGCAGGTGAAGCGTCAGGTGGATGAAGGTGGCCAGGTCACTGCGGGCAGTAGGAATGGACTGAAGATTATTTAGCTCTTGCATGCTGGAGCAATATCTGAAGGTGCTTCCTCAACAGTGACTGGTGGGGAAGACAGCGATATCTCTGTGTTCCTGGGTCTGTACACCCGCTGTCCCTGTTCGGTTTCTTTTTAATGAGAATGTAACAGGAGGAGAGGAACACACAAGAACTTTGGCTGGGAGATCTCCCAACAGATCCCAAACATAAAACAAGCCAGGGGCAAAATCAGGCCTTACAGCTCCACCTACAACCAAAGAAAACTCTTTTTTTGTTACTAAACTGACCCCTTTCTGCATTTTTTAGGTGTCTGAGATTACAGCACGATAATAACATGAGAGAATCACCTCTTCGGACATAGTTGCAGAGAAGAGCAGTGTCTGCCGCTGGTGGGAACAAAGTCTAATGATCTCCTTCATCTGTTCTTCAAAGTACTCATCCAGCATCCTACACAGAAAATTCAGAGCATAATTACTTCTCTGTCCATATGAATCAGTTTTCCATTTGTTACATGTTGAAACTCTGACCAACTTAATAAAGCACTCAAAGTTTTTTTTTTCCACCATTAGCATAATATAACTGTAAGGGGCATAATAAATGTTGCTCCGTTTCCTCGCAGTGCTGGTCTTGGGACAAATGTGGCCTTCATGGGGTCAGCATATACCTGAATAGTATTTTCTCTCTCACTATAAAATCATCATAATTCAATATAAGTCAAGCCGTTTCTTGGAGGATTAGCACAAGCTGTGCTGTGAACTCAAGTGCCTGATCAACATATAATTACCTATCGGCTTCATCCAAGATCAGCACCTCAATGGCATCAAGGCTGAATGAGGGGCAGTTGTGCAGATGGTCAATAAGCCTTCCAGGGGTGGCAATCAGAATATCAGGGCCAGCTCGTAAGGCTGCTTCCTGTGACTTCACATCCAGACCACCTAGAAGAGATAGGGGACGACTCAGTGCAAGGACAATGCAGAACAAAACAAAAAGACTGAAAAAAAAATGTAAAAAACACACAAAGCAAAATGAAGGGGATTCCCAGTAAGGCCTCATTCACACCAGAAACGGCCGACACGTACAGCTCCGTGCACAGCCGTACCGGGCAGCTCCCAGGAGGGACAGGTGCTGCATGTGATTAGTATGCAGCCCGTCTTTCTCTATGGGACTACGCGGCCGTACGCCACCCTACGCTGACCCCCAAGTGCAAGTCCGTAAGGGTGCGAGTGTACCGGCTCAGATGCAGACAGGATCCATCCTGTCAGCGTACGAGTACGGACACCTGCACTTGAGGTAAGCGTAGGGCGGCATACGGCTGCGTAGTCCCATAGAAAAAGACAGGGGCTGGGTACCAATCACACGCAGCACCTGTCCTTCCCAGGAGCTGCCCGATAAGGGTTTGCACGCAGCTGTATGTGCCGGCCGTTTCTCATGTGAAAGAGGCCTAAATAGTCTGTCTGCGTGTAACTGTGTGGAAACAATGGACTCACGGCTCCTAAATTTTTACTGGAATGGGTAGCTGTACTTTGAAACTTTACTTGGGACACCTCCTGCTGGTAAAACGTGACACTGCGGCACCACCACAGGCAATGGTTCAGAATGATTATTGCTCCAAGCCAGTTAAATAGACAACTCCTGGGTTTAAGGCTTCCAGGACTCCCGAAAATTAAGTGAAAGTGTGTGCAGGCACCAGAAGCTCCCTCCTCTTCACTGCCACAACAAGTACACTTTGAAAGAATAACTTTAGTCCATGGGAAAAGCAGGACACTTAAAACTTAGAAAACAAACTCTTTGTGTCTGTGTTTTATTGAAAAAGGCTGTGTGCTCCATGAATGATACCCAGTGCACTCACCCACGGTTAAGCAGCAGGTAATCTCTGTGAACTGGGCCAGCTGTCTGGTGACTGTATGCACCTGAATGCCGAGCTCACGTGTTGGGACCAGAGCCAGGACCCTGGTGACTGGAGCTTCCCGCGGCTTGTAGATGAGACGCTCCAGAACTGGAAGCATGAATGCAGCCGTTTTACCTGGCAAAGAAAATCACAGATGAATTACTAAGCAAATAAAACATTTTTTTCTTGTTTCGTTGCCACCGAGTTGCAGAAGCTGGGAAGGCAGCTAACCTCTAATGCTTACCATACATGTATTTTGCTTCATAAAAAGTTTACTTTTTAAGAGAACTCTGGGGTTAGGGCTTTTCCCCATAGTTCTCCTAAGGGGAACGGGAGGACACAATCTAGCGTCCTCCCGTCACACAAAGCTCAGTATACCGCGAGCTGACGCCCCAGCCGGAACGGATCCCGACAATTCGGTCTGGATCCACCCAGCTGCGTGAGCGACAGCTGGCTCTACACATCTTGAGGCAGAGCCAGCTGTAGCCGCCCCCTCCACCGTCCGTTCCGCCAGTCAGCGACGGAGGATCGGACAGGGGAGGGGAATCCCTGCAGGGAGCCGTGAGTGACAGTCACGGCTCTCTGCACGGATAGATCGAGAAGTGTCCGCTCAGTTTCACTCGCAGGTCGGCTCAGATTATGAGGCTGAGTGATAATCACTTGCCTCATAATTCTCCTTTAAAGAGACGTGTAGTGTTAAGGTCTGGGCGTTTTTTACCTTAATGCATTATCTGAATTAGGGTAAAAACGGCCCAGCACCTTTTTTTCTCCCCCAGTCCCCCCCCCCCCCCCACACACACTTACCTGTCAGCTATGCTCGTCCCCGCTGCCGGTCCCGAAGCGATCCTCCGTTCCCTGAACTTTTGGGTTGCGGGGGGAGGATACAGATAGAGGAGCCATAGGCTCCTTCTTCCATCAAAGAGGGAAGGGCGTGGCCTGCCAAAGGACTGTGCGAGTCTATGGACGCACATAGTCACTGCGGGCAAGGGTGCCTCCATTAGAATGATTGGGGGGAGCGCTGCGGGGACCCACTAGAAAACGAGGAATTAAAACGTTTTCAAAAAAGCAGCAACAGCCTCCAGCAAAGGAGGATCTACTTAATATCACTAAGTCACAATTTCCTCATTCTCTCTGACAACGACCCACTTACCAGTCCCAGTAGCAGCACAGGCACACATGTCTCTTCCCAACAATCCCACAGGGATGCAGGCCTTTTGAATAGGAGTGGGCTGTGTGAAGTTGAGAGCAGAAATTGCCTGAAAGAGAAGGAGGGTAGCAAGCTTCCATAAACACCAGCATATTGAAAATATTTCCCAGAATGCTTTGCAGGTTTGGGTGCCTGACATGAAAATCAAAATTGCCAACAAACTCATCAGCAATGGGAAACATTTCAGGTGCTAGCAAAGAATTTATAATATGTGAAAAACTCTAATCAAGTGCTCAAGCTGTGGTTTCCGTAAACCTAATGCTTAGTAGCCAACAACAATGTATCTTATTTGTGTATCATTCGGCTGTAGATCCTCAAATCATCTCTGAATTGGTGCCGACACTGTTCTTCCTTCTGGAGGGCGGCTACTTTTGTTCCCCATGGTCCCTGTGTGTTATAAAGTAGTCACCACTCCAAGCTCACCCCCGTGATGTACTACAATCTCAATACAAATTAGTAAACCAAATGTAAGAGTGTAGCTGATCACGGAAGCAAGCTTGGAGCGTGGACTACTTTACTACACACAGAGGGACCATGGGGAACAAAAGTAGCCCCCCTCCAGAAGGAAGGACAGTGTCAGCGTGAATTCAGTGATCAATTGAGGTTTGAGTGATACACAAATGAGCTACATTTTTGGGAATAGATATACGGTACTTGAATGCATTTTTTAAGGTTTAACTCCAGAGATTAGCGTCACTAAGTCCTGAATCCTGACCAGTATACTTGTTCCAGGTCAGTGACTCAATAGGTAGTAAAAGGTAAGGGTGAGAACTCAGAGCTAGCAAATTTAAAGGTCAGGAGAGAAACATGGGAGCTGCCACTGTTATTTTCTAAGATGCAATCTACAGGGCTGCAATTCCTATCCTTATAATATCATCTACTGAGCCACTGACCAGAATCAGGCCTGTATGTGTCAGGTGACAGACAACTGATTGGCAAATGCTCCAGGAGCAAATACTGAATGAAGGATAAAAGTGACGGATCTTGAACAAGCCCTTCAGAAATAAGGAATGACAACTATTATTTCTGCCCTTCTGACAGCAGGGAACCTGTAGTCATAATACAATAGCCAGCAGAGGAGTTTCCCTCATCCACGCTGTTTTGACTGGAAAAAAGGAATGGAGTGGCGTTTTCTAGTTCAGCCCATATGGAACTCTTCTATACATTCAATTCTAAAGTGCGACGCATACTAGTACCTTTAGTAGTGGTCGAGACAGATTCATGTCCTGGAAAGTCAAGTTCACGTCAAACTGAGAAGCATCTTCAAAAAAGTCGGATTTCTAAAAAAAAAAAAAAATACACAAAGCTAACAGATATACATTAATAAGGAATCCCCGTACTCACTGAGGTCTTTAAGGGCAACTATAAGTGCTCAGCCACACCTACGCATGTACTTCACCACACATGCACCCTGCTAACTGGCCTATGAACAGCGGATACCATGCATGGGGAAGTTTACACAATTACTGAGGTCTGTTTTTGCACTGGGAAATGTTAAAGCCCATGACACACTGCATGCGAAGCCGTGCAGAGCAAAGCTGCCAGGCACGAAGGTTCGCATGCAATGTGAGCACGGAGCGAGGCCAGATGAAAGGCTAGCTGAAGATGCAATCAGCTCGCGTGTAATGTCCGAATGGACTTTGCATCGTGACACGTGGGTATATACACGTGAGCCTATTGGCTGAAGATGACATTTTCAGCACGCTCAGCTATGCGACCTCTCGCAAGCTGACATGGAGTGAAAATAGCATGACATACTGTACGCGAAGGTCCGCACACCACCGCTCCGCGCTGCTCTGCTTGCAGTGTGTCACAGCCTTAAAAAAAGAGGACTATGGGGTCAGTGCTTTTCCCCATAGTTCTCCTAAGGGTAACGGGAGGACACAAACTAGGGTCCTCCCGTCACCCAAAGCTCAGTATAACGTGAGCTACAACTCGCGGTATACTGAGACGCCGCAGCCGGAGCGGATCCCGACAATTCTGTCTGGATCCACCCAGCTGCGTAAGTGACAGCTGGCTCTGCCTATTTAGAGTGCCTATCAGCGCTGGAGGATCGGACAGGGGAGGGGGGAATCCCTGCAGGGAGCCGAGAGTGACATTCACGGCTCTCTGCAGGGACAGGATCGAGAAGTGAGCGAGCGACTGTATGTGTTCGTTCACTTCCCAATCTACTGAGCCGACCTGTGACAGTCTCATTGTCACAGGTCGGGTCAGATTATGAGGTGAGTGAAAATCACTCCTCATATTTCTCCTTTAAAATATCCCTTCAATTTTTCTTAAGCAATAAAAACCTAAGAATATTGCTGAGACTTTAGGATTATCCTACTGCCTAAAGGAGTTGTAGACTGGGTATCTGTAGACTGGGTATCTGTATTCTGGGCTGGCAGTTTCTCTGAGCCAAAGGATATCCACTATTTCCTGTGTAACTGAGAAAATCTAAGGTTGAAGTGCCGCACCGGAAGTTGATTGTCCAGACACAAAATGTATATTTAATACAACCTTTCATCATTTATTGGAATAAATAATGCCTGAAAGATCAACTTCTAGTGTGGAACTTCAATGATAAATTTTCTCAGATTTTTAAACCGGTCGGTGCTCTCATTGAGCAATTTCACTAATATCCTTTGTTGCCACCATGACAGGAAACAAGGCAAAAACCTCTCCACAGTGGGGACCCAGAGAACAACTCAAATCCGACAGTTCCTAATCCTTCCCCTATCCAAAAAACAGATTTGCTGGCGTTACCCTTTAACTTAAATGGGTGTAAAGTTAAGAAATACTGGATCACATGCATACAAATTTCTTACCCCAGTTCCCTTTTTCTTCTTTTTTTCTTTAACTCTCAATGTATCTGTAAAAGAAAAACAGCAAATATGCATAAAGTTTGGTGTATTCAAAACTACTTGAAAGAAGCCATCAGAAACTAATGCTTACACTGAGCTGCTAACACCTATGTACTCTTTGTGATTTCAGGGTGTTACTGTATGAGTCACAAGTTAGTACCTTTGTGCTGAGGTGCAGTAGAAGGAAACAAATCCTGATGGAGTTTTATATTGAATTGGGAGACTTCACTTCCTGACATGTCACTGGGACTGGAAGTCAAGGGAAATCTCTCATATGAGGACAAAGCCATTAATATTGGAGTGGAGAACATGAACTCTGACAGGTTTTAATTGCTGTCCGTTGGCAAGATGTCCCAAACAGGCACTTAGATAGCAGCACTTTCCTCCCGCCCCCTATACGGGTGTCTCTATCAGCTAAGCCGAGCTATAGAGGCACCCGTGCGTGCTCGTGCCTAGCCGTGCCCGCAAGTGGCTGTGTGCGTCCATAGACACACACACAGCACTGCGGCAGGCCACGCCCCTCCTCTCTGTCCAACAGGTTGATTGACGGCAGAAGAATGGAGGATCACTTCAGGGACCCAGCGGCGGTGACAAGCGACGCTGACAGGCAAGTGTGTGTGTGTGTGTGTGTGTGTGTGTGTGTGTGTGTGTGTGTGTGTGTGTGTGTGTGTGTGTGTGTGTGTTCGCGCGTCTCAAAAAGTTACTGGATGTTTTTTACCTCAATACAGAGAATGTATTAAAGTAAAAACGCCCAGCCTTCAGTAATCCTTTAACATAACGTTACATAGGGAGGTAACAGACAGCCATCTTGGAAACTGAGTACCAGGGAACTCTGATTTTCCCAAACATGATTTGATCAGCAAAAAACAATGGAAGGGTGAACTAGAAACTACAGCCTGAGAGGTAAAAGGTCAACAGACTGAGCACCATACATAGCAGATATGTCATAGGGAGATGTATACACAAGTTGTTTAAATGTCAGCAGGTCTTCATGTCTAAAAAGAAAAAGTTAGATATGATATTACAATGTATATACTAGATCTGTAAATAGAATTCTGCAATGCAACCCAAGCAGTTTCCTTCAGGTCGGTGGCCTCACCAAACACAGGCTCCATAAAGGGTGCACAGAAGATGGCCACCAAGCTGTTTAAAACATGACTAAGTACTGCAAGACAAACTGATCTAGGTCACGCCAACCTCCAGCATAGTGTGGCCATGCGGCTTCCTTGAGCCTAGGGCTAATGGGAGAACATTACTTGCTGCATCACACCTGACAATAGTCCTACTCCATCTACATCCTGCAAGTAGTTTACACGTGGGTAGTAGCGCAGGCGATGAGAGGAAGCTGTCAGGCGTCACCCTCAAACCTCACTGGGAGGCAAGGTCCAACTTGCCAGCTGTCCTGAGGAAGCCGACAGGAATCACCCCCAATCTAAACAGGAGACAAGTTCCAGTATGCAAGATATAGGAGGCATTTAACAAGGGACTCTTTCCCTTTCCACCAGCCTCATGTCTAGAGAGCTTCCCTAGACCCTACATGACTATCAGCAAGAAAGAGGGGTCTTCACACACAGGTTTCTGACCCATACGAAAATTACCAAACAGGGGGAAGTGCCTGCTGAGGTGCAGAAGACACAAGACGGAGGCAACAGAGAAGAGGGTTGCATTCTATAGAGTTCTGGGGATTTGGTTTCTTCTGGTGGGCAGGGCCATCTCTCCCATGTACTCTGTCCTGGAAGAGGACTCGGGAAAGTTTAATACAACAGCACTTTGATTTTATGGTTACTCTAATTAAAACAGCGGATGGAGAAGAATCACCAGTGAGGTCTCTTACCGGCTTTAGTTAGGACAATTTCCTCCCCTGATGAGAATTCCTCCTCACTCTCCTTGTTCTCGTCCTCCTCCTCCTCCTCACTCTTTACATCGTCCTCCTTCTCTGACTGTTGGGTGGTTTTCTCGGCTTTATCCTGTAGTAAATAGAAAGGAGGTCAAAACGCTGATCCTTGGAGGACAGAATACAGCCCTAGACGCACATACTGACCTGGTTCTTCCTCTTCTTCCTCACTGACTCGATCTTCTCATCCAGGCTGGTGACAGATCTCTAGATTGGAAAGGAGATGGAAGTAGTAAGAAGATATACAAAGGCTGCATCGCCTGAACACACTACGCGGGTATATCATTCATTTGCACCTTTTTAAGCTGCTTTAGAACATCATCCATCACCCAACTGTCATCGCCCTGCGCATCCCGTTCTGTGAACACAAATTCTGCGTTGAAGTCCTCGCTGCGTTTTCCTTTATCTTGCTTCTTCTTCCCGAGCACAATTGGCTGCTCCTGCTATACAAAAAACAAAACAGCGACATTAAACCGTTCACCTCCATTCACTTTCAGGGCGATTCAGTAAAGCTTTTGCAATACTGTTCTGTTAGGGCTGTCTTAGGAGGCCCCGCGGCAACAATTACAAAATGTCATCAGCACTCCAGCACAAAGATTTGTGTTACTGCAAATGAATTTTATTGGTAAATGTCAAAAAGACGAGCGCTTTCGGGGGCCGTGCAGGATCCCCTTCATCAGGCTCAATAATGACATTGTACAAAAGAACCACAACCCTTATATAGACATACATAAATGAAGAAAATAATAACGTCACAATGACATCATATTCCCGCCATTTCACATTAACAACCTGTCAATAAGTGCTTAAAAGGAGAACTATGAGGTGAGTGCTTTTCACTCACCTCATAGTTCTAGCCGACCTGTGACAATGAGACTGTCACAGGTCGGCTCAGTAGATCGGGAGGTGAGCGAACACATACCGGGTTCGCTCACCTCTCGATCCTGTCACGGCTCTCTGCAGTGACAGGGGGAGGGGCTGGATTCCCCTCTCCGATCTGCCAGCGCTGACTGGCGGAACGGACGGGGGAGAGGGCGGGTACAGCTGGCTCTGCCTCTAGATAGGCAGAGCCAGCTGTCACTCATGCAGCTGGGCGGATCCCGACGTCTAAGTCGGGATCCGCTCCGGCGTCTCAGTATACCGCGAGCTGTAGCTCGCGGTATACTGAGCTTAGGGTAACGGGAGGACGCTAGTTTGTGTCCTCCCGTTACCCTAAGGAGAACTATGGGGAAAAACACTGACCCCATAGTTCTCCTTTAAGTAATGAGCTTAATGCACTGGACCGCACCTACCGTGTATCAACAGTACAGGAGGTGCGTTGCCAATCATTTAAATAGTGCCCCCAAACACACCTGCAATGTGATTGATCGCACTGCCACGCATAGTACTACAATACCGTGCAATTACAAAAAAAATTAAAATAGTGCATGCAGTAGAGATGTGAAGGAACGCACATTCTTTACGTCCAGCTGCCAATAGAGTAACATTGGGCTTCTGATCAGATCTCCCTGAAAAACTGATCGCCTGTCTAGAAGGGGCCTTAAGGTGGAATACGCCTTTAAATCCCATCAATGCAATCTCCACATAGAACCGGATTCATTTTTGTGCATTGTTTGTTTTGATGTTATGGGACCGAATGACACATTTGAATCTGTGATGGCCTCCTTCTCACCGCAGGCAGCCCTATACACATTGCTTATCATTTTGTCTCAGTGTTCATTCACTTTTTAGTAACGCAGCAGTAACATCTTAACTGAAAGGAGAACTATGAGTTTAGTGCTTTTCACTCACTCGGACGCGGGTACAGCTGGCTCTGCCTTTAGATAGGCAGAGCCAGCTTTCAGTAACACAGCTGGGCGGATCCCGGCACAATTGTCGGGATCCGCTTCAGCGGCTCAGTATACCGCGGGCAGCTGCTCACAGTATACTGCGGCGTCTCAGTATACCGCGAGCTACAGCTCGCAGTATACTGAGCTTAGGGTGACGGGAGGACGCTAGTTTGTGTCTTCCCGTTACCCTAAGGAGAACTATGGGGAAAAGACAACCCCATAGTTCTCCTTTAAATAAAACCGACTCTTTTATCAAGTAATCAGCCGATCTGCAGAGATCAGATTTGTACACTGACTTTATCACACAACAGATCCGAATATGATATCGGCCCATGCATGTGACAACCACACCGCGATGGTCATTATGGCAGGAGGAACGTGTCTCCCCTCCATGGTTGTTTCTCCATGACAGTCCTCAGAACGCATCCAGTACACAACAATCGAACAAGACATCTTTATCTATTCCAGCATTCATTTACAGACCGGCAGGACTATTCCACAAACGATCAGATCGTTATATGAACGAGCAGTCACAATCCATCACACCCTCTGATCGTACCTCATCCTCCTCAGACTCCGGCTCCTCTGGAACCTCTTCATCATCATGGATGGTTCTGATCAGATCCATGTCGGACAGATGTCCGGTGACGTCTCTGTACACACCGCTCTCGGTGGAGATATTATTCCACTACTCGTCTCACTCAACACACGTGTGTAACTCCGGCCGCCACCCGGAAGTAATTCATCGTCCCAGTCCTCCGGAAGCACGTGAAGGATTTAAAGGGGACCGCAGTAAACTGAAGAGTGCGGCTATATCAGAAAAACATCTGGGAGCTGGGAATATAATAAATGTGTATTAAATATCCCTCGGCTGATCTCTCCAGTGTCAGACACTTTATTTACATTATTCTACATAACATATGGTCTGGGTGGGCAACTCTGGCACTCCAGCTGTTGTGGAACTACAAGTCCCATGAGGCATTGCAAGACTGATAATTACAGACATGACTCCTAGAGACAGAGGCACCATGGGATTTGTAGATAAAGCACAGCTGGAGATGCCTACCACCTGGCCTAGGCCGTCTTTAACCACTTGCTGCCCAGAGGAATTTCTTACATTTGCGCACACATGATAAAATCTGAATTTTGAGCCAGAAAAAAGCTTCACACCCCCAAACAGTGATATATTTTCTGAAAGCAGAGGCCCCTATGTGATAGCAATAACAATAAGTGTAAACAAAGTTTAAAAAAAATAAAAGTCACATATAAAAAAAAAAGTTAAAAAAACCCCCCAAAATGTTTAAGTCCCCCACGTTTACGCACATGTAAACGTAAATACGCGTTCGATGTGACAGCGTACAAAAACGACAATTGCGCTACACATGTTACATATTGCCGCAAACGTCGCAGTGAGAGAAATCATTTTAGGGCCATTAATCACTGATAACACTAAACTGATGAGCGGTAAACGCTTTTAAAGCGTCGCCTACGGCCAAATTTGGTTATTGTACTTTTTTGAGGTTTGGCGCGCGCAATTTTAAGGCTTGACATGTTTGTTTGTTTTTTTTTTACCCGACGTGACCCCGTCTTTTATATTTTACCAAAAAATTGGGTAATAATAAAAGTTTTATAATTTAATATAGGGGAAAGTTTTTTTTTTACATTTGGTAATTTTTTGCTTACTATAGTAAAAAATAAAACCCCCAGTGGTGATTAAATAGCATCAAAAGAAAGCTCTATCTGTACCCAAAAATTGTATAAAATTCATTTCATTACAGCGTTGCATGACGGAATAAATGTCATTAAAAAAACCACAGCGCTGAATCCCTGAAAATGGCCTGGATGGGAAGGGGGAGTAACACCGCAGACTTCAAGTGGCTAAAATTGCTGTTGTGCGGGAAACAGCAAAAAACTACAATAACCAAAGGTAATGTTTTAAATGCTTTTACTGCTCATCAGTATAGTGTTACCAGTGATTAATGGCCTAGAATGATTGCTTTCACTCCGACACTCGCGACGATATTTAACATGTGTAGCGCAATTTTTGTTTTTTCACGTAGGCGCATCCGACGCGTGTTTGCATTGTATGTGTGTGCATGTGGGGGACTTTAAAATTTAGTTTTTTTGCATTTTTTTATGTTACTTTAATTTTGTAAAATTTTTTTACACTCAGCTTTATTGCTACTGCATAGGGGACTAACAAGCCCCCTATGTCATAGCAAATATTAGGGTTGCACAGATACCAAGTACAGTACTTGGTACAAGTACGAATACAAGTACCGATACTTTTGAGCTCCAAGACTACACTAGAGAAAAATTCAAAAATTAGGAGGCAGCTGTCATTTGTAAGGAGCACACGGAGCTCCCGGGATTTGTACATCTCTGTTTTAATGTAGGATTTTGTTTTTATAAATATAAATAAAGGGATGCACAGATACCAGTTTGGCGAGTACGAGTACTGCTACTTGCCGAGTACTTACAAGTACGAGTACTGATACATTTTTGTTTATTGTCATGTGACAGTTTTTCTAAAATAATACAGACTAATAATTTTAGGACAGTGGTGGAGTGCCAGAGCCAGGTCCCAGCTGCAACCGCTGCAACCCTGGTAGTTCTCATGAAAATGCCAAGTATCTGCACTGGTACTCAAAAAGTATCTGTGCATCCCTAGCAAATATAATGTTCCACTGCAAACGCAAAAAATAGAGCAAACCCTATTTTGTGCGTTTGCAGTGGAACAGAACACTGGCAAAGTCTTGTCACGCGTCCGATCACACTGCCGGCGGCGGGAAGGGCGCTCGGGGGACGTGGAAGTGGTGCCATTGAATTCAATGCACCGCCATGCCCCCTCCCACCCCAAAACGCGGGGAGAAGTTTCTTAGCGATCGCGTTCTTAGCGATCGCGGAACACACACGCTTTCAGGTGTGAACAAGGCCTTGAGATCCTTACTTTAACCAGTTGGCCTGGATGGGAAGGGGGTTTAACACCGCGGATGTCAACTGGTTAAAAAATGACAGTTTGTTTTGTTTTAGCCCAATCAGATCTGAACAATCACAGTCTGAAAATACTCGCCATTTTCTGGCAGCCCATGTCCATGTATGGTGGTGTGAGATCACAGCAGTCTTGTGATGTCATAGTAATCTGGCAGTATATATAGGGAGAGCTTCTTGTGTTTTCATCCTTACAGTTGTCTTTGTGCTTCTGTGAGGTTTGCTTTTTGTGAGGGCTCCAGTTATGCATTTCCACAAAAAGTGCGCTATTTGTGTGTTATTCTTCGTTGTTTTGTGTGTGGACTGTTCACATGGAAGGCCAAGTAAGATATTTTCTGTATTTTCTATCATTATTATACACTGTAGACTAGAAGCTTCATTCACAAGCAGTAACACAGGGATAAGGGTCTTTGTCTGAGCTTTGTAACTGTCATTTTGAAATCTCATTGGACTCTCAACTGTCACTTTGGTTGAAAATGACCATTCTTATCCCGCCGTGTTGGCCTTGTGAACTGAGCCTTATATACTATGACTGCAAATGATCACACACTTTATAATGCCCCCACTGTACAAAGTCTAGTTTACATAATAATATTTGGGGAATGTACACCTACAGTATGAGATTTATACTCATAAGCAATTAGCAGAGCCACTGGCCCACGCAAATCTTTCTGAACGTTTGTTTTCGGCGTAAAGACACACAAACAAATGTTCTTAAATATATTTGAATTTCAGGTTGAATGTATGTAATGTAATACTGCATTATGCACACTAGATGGAGGTAAATGAAATACTTATTTCCTATACCCCTGAGCTCCATCTAGTGACCTAAATGCAGTATTACAATACATACATTCAACCGTAAAAGACACTATACAAGACAAGGTTTATTTTTGAGTCTAATGGAGTTCAGTTTTAGTATATATATATATTAAGAAAGTGTCATCTGAACTGTCATCTCAACTGCTGCTCAACACAGAGTGCATGATGGTCCGACGTGTCCCGTCCCAGTGCTCCAACCAACATTGCTCATGCTCTTTGGGCAGCATTCTGGCTCTCTAGTGTGCTGTTAGCAGGGGGCATTTTAACCCTTGCTGCAGCAAATACTACTGCATAAAATAGAAAAGAGGACGACAATTCTTACTATGTATGCAGCCTGACTTTGTTGTAGAAAGAAGGCCAAATATAACATAGCCAGCCAAATATAATAGATGTACTTACCAGAGTTGCTGGACTCTGATTTTCTTGTGTCTCATTCTAATATATGTGTTTCTCCTTTTTAACAGAGGGATCCCCATCTTATCCCCCGGAACCAAAAGAACAGGATTTGCAGAAAGGAAGTAAGGATCAAATGACTCTACATTCGCCTCAATTCACAAAGCTGTAATATATGGGATGAGTGAAATACACTTACCCCAATAGTTAGAGCCGGTGGCTCTATAGATCGAGAACTCAGCAATCACACACTATTGATCGCTCAATTCCCGATTTTCTCACTACAGAGAGCGGTGACTGTCAGTCATCACTCCCTACAGGGATTCCCCCCCCCTGCCTTCTCTGCTTCAGCAGTGCTCATTGGTGGGTCATACAGGGGAGGGGGCGGGCACAGCTGGCGCTGGCTCTAGAGAGGCAGAGCCAGCTGTCAATCATGTAGCGGGGTGGTTCCCGACAATATTGTTGGATCCTTCCCGACTGCTGCATGGCTCTGCGCTGTCAGCTTATAGCGGGCAATAGCCTGCTATATGCTGAGTTTTGGGTCACAGGAGGACATTAGTAAAAGTCTTCCTGTGACCTTAAAGAGAACTACAGCTAAAAAAAGGTTGGGCCTTAGTTCTCTTTTAACATATATTAGGTTGCTGATACAGTGGAAAGGAGGAAATAGGGCTTGGACAGATTTCATAGAAAACCTCACTGTATCTTCTCTTCTTACTAAATGCCGTTCACCTATTTCATATTTTTTCCATTCTTCTACAGGATCAATATTTTTACAAAATATCAGAGACTTCTTTTCTGCTCGACAGGCGACCCCTGAGCCAGACATGGACATGGATAACAGGGGCATGCGTGTTGCTCTACCACCTCCTATGGAAAATGAAGGTTTGTGTATCTTTACTTACTATGTATATTTGTGCGGGATGGAACTGCTCGATCTAAGGGGCTCATTTATAACAGAGACTCAATATCCCTGCCCGCTCTGTTATACTGCCCTTCACTATGAACACCGCATCCCACCCATTCATAAAAATCAGGCCGCGGTGTGTAGCTGGGGAAGCCGCACTGAGCTCTATTTCCCGAATCACTATTACACAACTGGATGTTTGCTCATCTCTTGTTTCTAACGCTTCTCCACTCGTCTAGAAGATTTCCATTAATCATTGTACGGCCATAATTTGCCATTTTGATTAGGAACATTCTCATCTAAGCAACATTGTGTTTTCTTTTTAGATCTTGAGGGCGCTCTGAAAGAGACAGAAGAAGTTCTGATCGGTTTTTTGGGAGTATACATAAAACTGATATATTGTATCACGGCAGCTCTGGTAGCGATCATCCTGATCCTTAGTTCAGTCGTCTTCTGGTGCTATGTGAGTATAAATATATAGTAAATATCATTTAATTGTATTTCCTTTTCTATCAACTATCTGTTTTGTCTATAACTGAAATGGCAAATACTTATGTTTTGTTTTTCTTCTGTTACCAGAAACGGACAAAGACTGAAAGGAAGAAGGAAGATGACGCAGCAGCTTGTTGGGAGGATGGCCCTGTTCCTGTAGCACTGATTATATCAGACCATATTTCTAATGTTCTATCAGACCATATTTCTAACGTTATTTCAGACCATATTTCAAGCGTTATTTCAAACGTTATTTCAAACGAGACAATTTGCAGTGCCCTCCCACAGGTATGAACAGCCCTAAGATCTATTATCAAAGAGTAATCCGATGCCAAATTTGGAGTCAGGAAGGAATTTTTTCCCCCCCTCTAACATATCATTGGCTTAGAGGTTTTATTTTGCCTTCCTCTGGATTGCTATCTAGTGTCACCAGATCACATGACCGGCCCCCACCCTGCCAGACGCAGGGGATTCCAGATGTAGTTAGAGGGGGCCCAGGGGAGGGTGAAGGACTCTGAGAAGCTAACAGGCATCGCCTGTTTTTCAGTCAAGCGAGTCCATTTGTTCCACCGCCCCCTTGTATGAATAAAAAGACACAAGGCCTAATATCCAGGGTATATACCGATTGCCAAATTTGGAAACAGGATGGAGTTTTTTTTAACATATATTAGGTTGCTGATACAGTGGAAAAGAGAAAATAGGGCTAGGACAGATTTTTTAGAAAATCTCACTGTATCATCTCTTCTTAATAAATGCAGTTCACCTATTTAATATTTTTTCCATTCTTCTACAGGATCAAGCTTTTAGCAAAATATCAGAGACTTCTTTTCTGCTCGACAGGCTACTGCAGAGCCAGGCATGGACATGGATAACATGTACATGGATAACATGGACATCAACGACATGGGCATCAACAACATGGACATGGGTAACATGGACATGGATAACATGGACAAACCTGCTCTACCACCTCCACCGCCGTATAAGGCGAATGCAGGTTTGTGTATCTTTATCTACTGTGTATATTTGTGCGGGATGAAACTGCTTGATCTAAGGCGCTCATTTATAACAGAGAATCAATATCACTGCCCGCTCTGTTATACTGCCCTTCACTATGAACACCGCATCCCACCCATTCATAAAAATCAGGCCGCGGTGTGTAGCTGTTGAAGCCCCACTGAGTTCTATCTGCTCAATGAACTTTGACAGGTCACATGAAGTGAATCTTGTCTCCAGAGTTAATGCTCTTTAAACATTGTGACTATTCTATGTTTTTTCATCGTTTTACAGATAAACATTCGAAGGTGGATACGTTGCCAAATGGGGTCCTCGAACCTGCCACTGGAATAGGTAAGTGTAGGTTTTGATCTTTATTTCCTCTATATTATTCTGCAAATATTTACACCTATCCTTTCCTTTTACATACACTCCATGTTTTATCAAAAATACCTTTATTTTATTACCTGTCACCTGGGTAGTGGGAGCGGGCTCCTTACAAAGCTATGATTTCCCGAATCACTATTACACAACTGGATGTTTGCTCATCTCTTGTTTATAATGCTTCTCCACTTGTCTAGAAGATTTCCATTAATCATTGTACGGCTATAATTTGCCATTTTGATTAGGAACAGTCTCATCTAAGCATCATTTTGTTTTCTTTTTAGATCTTCAGGGCGCTCTGAAACATACAGAAGGCGTTCTGATTGGTGTTTTTGGAGTATACATAAAACAGATGTATTATATTATGGAAGCTCTGGTAGCGATCATCCCGATCTTTAGTTCAGTCGTCTTCTGGTGCTATGCACGTATAAATATATAGTAAATATCATTTACTATTATTAACTTTTCTATCAACTATCTGTTTTGTCTATAACTGAAATGGCAAATACTAATGTTTTGTTTTTTCTCTTTTACCAGAAAGGGACAAAGACAGATGGGGAGGATGTTCCTGTAGGACTGCCTGAATCAGACAGTGATTCAAACAAGTCATTTAACAGTACCCCCCTCACAAGTATGAACAGCCCCAAGATCTATTATCAAAAGTAATCCGATGCCAAATTTGGAGTCAAATTTGTGAGAATAAAAATACACAAGGCCTAATATCCAGGGTATATACCGATTGCCAAATTTGGAAACAGGATGGCTTTTTTGTTTTTTCTCTGAGACATTATTGGCTATGGGGTTTTATTTCTCCCTCTTCTGGATTACTATATTGTGGCGCCAGATCATCCTAACCATAAAAAACAATAAAGATTAGGCTGGACCTAATATTACAACTATATATCCTTTGTTGGGTACTTTTATTCTGGTTATTGTTGTACTGATCACAATTTGCTGCTAAATAAGTTCATGCATGCATAGTATAAATCATTTACTTTTACTACTTAATGTTTTCTTTTTTTTATAAATAAATTACAAAATCACCCGATTCTATTTTCATGTCTCGACTTTAAAAAGCCCCAATCACTGTACATATGTCTGAGAATCAGAGTGTGTAATAATACTGTGGCAGCAGGCAGATACAAATGTTTGGGGTTAAGTGTTATAGTAAAGGTTGTCCTCTAGGGGGAAGTGCTGAGAGGCTTGGGGGGAACAAGCCCAGCTGAAGCTAGCTGGCTTGTTAGGGCCTCTATAAGAACTGCCAACCTCCGAACAAAGGAGCTCCACCCTGGAACCAGTCTGTGTGTCTGGCAGACTGGGGAGCAGATTACCTATGTGGTGAAATGCAGCCTGCGTGGCAAAAGACGAGCTTGTGTGGCAATCCACCTGTGTGGTGAAACGCAGCCTGTGTGGTAAAAGACGAGCCTGTGTGGCAATCCACCTGTGTGGTGAAACGCAGCCTGCTTGGCAAAAGACGAGCCTGTGTGGCAATCCACCTGTGTGGAAAAAGACAAGCCTGTGTGGAAAAAGACAAGCCTGTGTGGCAGAGGCGGCTCTAGAGGTTTGCGAGGCCTTAGGCGAAACCTAAACATGAGGCCCCACTCAGGCCTGTGGTGTCTCACCAGGGCTCTGTGGGGTTTAACCAGTCTGGTGAGACCCCACAGAGCCCTGGGGAGACCCCTAAATAGCCCTGGTTAAACTATGGTTCTGTGGGGTTTCACCCCACAGGGCTCTGTGGGGACTGGTGAGACTGGTGATTTAACCAGGGCTGGTGAGACCCCACAGAGCCCTAGTTAAACCAGGGCTCTGTAGGGTCTCGCCAGTGCTCTGTAGGGTCTAACCAGCTTGGTTAGACCCCACAGAGCCCTGGTGAGATCCCAAAGAATGTCTAGAGGGTCTCACCAGGGCTTTGTAGGGTCCCAACAGGGCTCTGTGGGGTTTAAACAGCTCTGGTGAGACCCCACAGAGGCCTGGTTAAACCAGGGCACTCTAGGGTCTCACCAGAACAAGGGCTCCGCAGGGTCTCACCAGGGCTATGTGGGGTCTTGCCAGCCTGGTTAGACCCCTCAGAGCCCTGGTGAGACCCTACAGAGCCCTGGTCAAACCAGGGCTCTGTAGAATTTCACCAGGGTAGCAGGCCCATGTGGGGTCTCACTAGGGCTCTGTGGGGGTCTAACCAGCCTTGTTAGACCCCACAGAGCCCTGGTGAGATCCAACACAGCCCCAGGGCTCCGTAGGGTCTCACCAGGGCTATGTGGGGTCTTGCCAGCCTGGTTAGACCCCTCAGAGCCCTGGTGAGACCCTACAGAGCCCTGGTCAAACCAGGGCTCTGTAGAATTTCACCAGGGTAGCAGGCCCATGTGGGGTCTCACTAGGGCTCTGTGGGGGTCTAACCAGCCTTGTTAGACCCCACAGAGCCCTGGTGAGATCCAACACAGCCCCAGGGCTCCGTAGGGTCTCACCAGGGCTATGTGGGGTCTTGCCAGCCTGGTTAGACCCCTCAGAGCCCTGGTGAGACCCTACAGAGCCCTGGTCAAACCAGGGCTCTGTAGAATTTCACCAGGGTAGCAGGCCCATGTGGGGTCTCACTAGGGCTCTGTGGGGGTCTAACCAGCCTTGTTAGACCCCACAGAGCCCTGGTGAGATCCAACACAGCCCCAGGGCTCCGTAGGGTCTCACCAGGGCTATGTGGGGTCTTGCCAGCCTGGTTAGACCCCTCAGAGCCCTGGTGAGACCCTACAGAGCCCTGGTCAAACCAGGGCTCTGTAGAATTTCACCAGGGTAGCAGGCCCATGTGGGGTCTCACTAGGGCTCTGTGGGGGTCTAACCAGCCTTGTTAGACCCCACAGAGCCCTGGTGAGATCCAACACAGCCCCAGGGCTCCGTAGGGTCTCACCAGGGCTATGTGGGGTCTTGCCAGCCTGGTTAGACCCCTCAGAGCCCTGGTGAGACCCTACAGAGCCCTGGTCAAACCAGGGCTCTGTAGAATTTCACCAGAGGTCTCATCAAGGCTCTGTGGGGGTCTTACCAGGGTAGCAGGCCCATGTGGGGTCTCACTAGGGCTCTGTGGGAGTCTAACCAGCCTTGTTATACCCCACAGAGCCCTGGTGAGATCCCACAGAGCCCCAGGGATCTGTAGGGTCTCACCAGGGCTCTTTAGGGTCTCGTCAGTGCTCTGTAGGGTCTAACCAGCTTGGTTAGACCCCACAGAGCCCTGGTGAAATCTGAAAGAGCCCTACCCAGGCTCTGTAGGGTCTCACCAGGGCTTTGTAGGGTCCCAACAGGGCAATGTGGGGTTTAAACAGGGCTGGTGAGACCTCACAGAGCCCTGGTTAAATCATGGGTCTCACCAGCACCAGGGCTCTGTAGGGTCTCACCAGCCTGGTTAGACCCCTCAGAGCCCTGGTGAGACCCCAAAGAGCCCTAGTGGGACCCCAAGAAAGCACTGGTAAAACCAGGGCTCAGCAGGTCTCTCTTGTTTCTCACCAGCACCAGGGCTCTGTAAAACTCTCTGGGGTCTCACCAGGGCGCTGTGGGCTCTAACCAGCCTTGTTAGACCCACAGAGCCCGGGGAGACCCCACAGAGCCCTGGATAAACCAAGGCTCTGTAGGGTCTCACCAGAGCTCTGTGGGGTCTCTCCAGGGCGCTGTGGGCTCTAACCAGCCTTGTTAGACCCACAGAGCCCGGGGAGACCCCACAGAGCCCCGCTACGCTGGTGAGGCCCCCTCAGAGCCCCGGGGAGCCCCCACAGAGCCCTGGTTAAACCAGGGCTCTGAGGGGGCCTCACCAGCGTAGCGGGGCTCTGTGGGGTCTCACCAGGGCGCTGTGGGCTCTAACCAGCCTTGTTAGACCCACAGAGTCCTGGTGAGACCCCTCAGAGCCCCGATGAGAACCCACAGAGCCCTGGATAAACCAAGGCTCTGTAAGGTCTCACCAGAGCTCCATGGGGTCTCGCCAGCACCAGGGCTCCGTAGGGTCTCACCAGGCCTCCAAGGGGTCTTACCATGGCTATGTGGGGTCTCACCAGCCTGGTTAGACCCCTCAGAGCCCCGGTGAGACCCCACAGAGCCCTGGGCTCTGTAGAATTTCATCAGGGCTCTCACAGGGGCTCTGAGAGGGCCTCACCAGGGTAGCGGGGCTCTGTGGGGTCTCACCAGGGTGCTGTGGGTTCTAACCAGCCTTGGTAGACCCACAGAGTCCTGGTGAGACCCCTCAGAGCCCCGATGAGACCCCACAGAGCCCTGGTTAAACCAAGGCTCTGTAGGGTCTCACCAGAGCTCCATGGGGTCTCGCCAGCACCAGGGCTCCATAGGGTCTCACCAGGCCTCCAAGGGGTCCTACCATGGCTATGTGGGGTCTCACCAGCCTGGTTAGACCCCTCAGAGCCCCGGTCGGACCCCACAGAGCCCTGGGCTCTGTAGAATGTCACCAGGGCTCTCACAAGGGCTCTGAGGGGGCCTCACCAGGGTAGCGGGGCTCTGTGGGGTCTCACCAGGGTGCTGTGGGTTCTAACCAGCCTTGGTAGACCCACAGAGTCCTGGTGAGACCCCTCAGAGCCCCGATGAGACCCCACAGAGCCCTGGATAAACCAAGGTTGAAAAGACAAGCCTGTGTGGTGAAAAGACAAGCCTGTGTGGTGAAAAGACAAGTCTGTGTGGTGAAAAGACAAGCCTGTGTGGTGAAAAGACAAGCCTGTGTGGCAACTTGAGGAGAACCAGCCTGTGTGGCCAGAAGTTTTGGTAGAGACCACCTTAAGTCGGTGAGACTTTACAAATGTTATGTTGCTGGAAGAAAAAGCTGTACTTTATGTTTGAAAACCCCTGCGAGGGAAAACCTGCATGGACTTTTTGAGTTTGAGTCAATAAAAGTGGGCAAAGACGCCCTTAAAATAAGTTGTAAGCGAGTGGAAGTGTCCTTAATGCGCTACCATTGGAAGCTAGTTCTCACAATAATTATAGTTTAAGCACAAAAAAGGGATGCCGTATAGAGTTTACTCAAAGAGTGTTTGTAAGCTAGAACGCATGATTATCGTAGGGTTCAGCGACCTAAGTGTGTGTGGATAATTTATTTTGTCACGTGTTATGTGGAGCAAATCTCAGCAAAATCTGGACACAGGAAACATGGTGCGCGATGGTCTGTGCGATATACCGATTTATACTAAAGGGTAGATTTATCAAATATTGTGTAAAGAAAGATTCGTCTATGGTTGCCTAACTGACAAGATCTTTGGTCTAAAAGCAACGACCTATGGATTAAATTCCTGTAATATCGATCAATTTCCAAAAGCAACTTTGGTTTAATTGGTAGTAATGAATCCTCCTTTGGAAATTTTTATATAAGCATAATTTTCGTGAAGACCTCAAAGGCATGGTAAAGACCTTGGAAGAATGCCCTTCAAGACAAAATGATTCCAATGTGCTCCGG